CTTTCTACTTTGAACCAATATTTATATCATTTGCACTAAAAGGAAGTTGCTGAAAAGTACTGTAATTTTTCTTCTCTCAAGCTCATCATTGAGCCGCTGCAGTGCCATCAAGTTCAGCTGACCGTGTCGTGTTGTAGAAAATTCGTTTTGACGGTACAATCTGTGAAAGCAAGGATAATGTTACCCATGATCAAAGGAATGGAGAAGCAGAGTTATGGATGATGAGAAAGTATGATATTGGAAGCAGACTTATCGGGATTACACATTAAAGTTCCATCAATAATACACTAGATAACATTTATTGTAATTTGTACAATTCTAAAGAAAGGTGAAAATGGGCAGATTTCGTTTATCAATAAAAAAAATTAGAGAACACGCAAGCAACACAACAACCATGGTGTGTTTAGGTACCAAATTAAATTACTCAGCATCAATAGCACAACTGTAAAAATTGACAGGCAAGCTAAATTCAGTGACTGCACAAGAATGGAATGTCCTACTTGACTACGAATTTCGTTTTCCTTTTCATTTTTACTAGAAGTTGACTAGCCAATGGACTAAAATGTCTCTATGACATCTTATTGCCGGTGACTTTCAAGTTGCTCCAACCCCTGAATGGGGAAATCATGCCTTAGTATAAAAACTTCAAAGTAAGACTTGTATAATAACGCTACACAACCATACCTCTCGTGGAACCAGAGAATCTAGATTCCTTTTGGCATGTTAGGATACATTTCCTTGTCACATGTTATCTTCTGTACATGTACTTGGATAGGGGAAACTTAATACTCCTTGCTACCTGTTGATAAGGATACACAGAGATTACATACAAATAAATAATACTCAAAACCAATTAGATTCTGCAAGGTTATACAACAGAAAAAAATAAAAAATAAAAATTGGCATCATCAGAAAACATTACCTTTAAAGCCATATCTTCAGATACTGTAGATCGATATCGAGTTGAACCTTCTAGCGGGCAGCTTCCTCCTTTGACCACAAAATTTGCGTTGCAGAGGCTGGAAAGTTGCAGGAGAACATCAGACATGAGTTCGCTGTCCTCATTTTGGCTTTCCATTACAACATTTCCTTGCTCATCCTCAAGTGAGGTTTCTGCCACAGACGTAATGCACTGAAATATTGCAAGCAACCTCTCCAATGGAAAAGTTCCAGGTCCTTTCATAAGCAACTCCTGTTCTGAAATCTCCTTCTGCTCGATCGATTTTTCTGATGGCCTAAAGCATTTCAATAAATGGCTATTTTAAATGAACTAGAAGGATTAAAAAAGCAAAGGAGCCAGAAGCTTGAAGAAATTCCTGTTAAACAACTGCATGTGTAATGATGAACCAGATTCTGAAAGAACATTAACATGTCATATAATAAATCTAACTGAATAATATTTACGCATAAAAGTGAAAAAGCCATAAAAAGATTGACATAAGTGGCTTATTAATTATAATCTTATTGATATACTAAGATGATTTTTTTAGTTTTACCAACTGTCATATGTTGTACATAATCGAGTTCTGAACATTATGTCTTCCATTACCAACTAGTATCTATATATTAAATAAAAAGTTGTCCCTAATGTTATGATACAACATCGTCCTTGTCCTACATATTTTTCTAGAAATTTTATTATTTTCTTAGACTTTTAAGAACTATCTTTGATTGAGTCAGCAGCTGACATCGCGAGTTAGAAATTAGAATCCTGCTTAGGAGGAAAGCATCTGGATGCAGAAATTTTGTCCCCAGTAAACTAAAGTCCATTCAAAATTGAAATTCTGACATCTTTTCTAGTTACTAATCCAATTTCGTCGCTGGAAAATTCACCAATAATCATCACCCGAAGAGTAACAATAAATAAATAATATCATGCATGATTTATCTCTTTTTTAATAGTACATAGCATAATGAAACTCATGGGACTAAAAAAGTTGAAATATTACCTCTTCTTCCTTTTTCGACTACTAGAGCCCCCAGTTGAATCAAACAGTGATGCATCAAGTGTAGCTGGATTTCTTGAAGCAAGGAATGCTGAAAGAAGGAGATATTTTGCAGAAGTAGACATGTGAAAGTCCAAGTCCTCAGAAGAGCCAAACCCATCAAACTTCTTACTGCCACCTTTTCTCTTTGGTTCCTTGAAATTATTAACTACAGAAGGCTGAGATGAAATTTTAAATATCTGATTCAAAGCAGGAGCGATATGTGGCTGAAAACGACTGAACCGTGCCCTCTTATTGGACTCATTTGGAACATTGTTCAGATCACTTAAAGCTTCACAGTATGTTTTATACAACGATGAAAAGGCTATGGACAGTTCATTCACTTGTCTAGTAATTCTACAGAATGGCCCCAATACAACACTGTTCACAAGAGACAAAAGCATTTTTAATGAATAAATCAAACAATTCAAACATGGTCATAAAGAAAGGGAGAAAAGGCATCTTACTTCAGGAAGGAAGAATACATCTCTTGATTAGTTTGATTCCTCATAAAAATTTGACGAAGATCATCTTCTGTGTACTCAGAGAAATAAACAGGGATGGGTTCCAAGTAACCCATATTTGAATAGTATGTGTCAGGGGAAGTATTACTGATGAAGAGAAATCCAACTTCACTCATGTTCAAGACCTCATGGAGATTAAACAGAAAAGGCAATACGCTTGAACTCTTGTCCCACTCTCTAACAAGCTCCAGATTGTCAAAAATCAGGTAGACCATATTACCATGCCCTTGTCCTGTCAACTTCTTGGTGCTTGACTTTCCTGGGTTCCCCTGTAGAGTTTTTACAACTTTAATTAAGGCTTCCCGAAGTAAGTTAACAAACTCTGGCGGCTTTTCACAGCGCTTTGCACTCAAATAACTATTGTCTGCATCTTTATGATGAAGTAATAACTGATTCAAGATAGACTCAAATAGGGTCCGCAAATTATAACAAGTACGACAGCTTGAATAGACAAAAGGACGGTTAAGACAACGGAATATCTGAAGAATAGCACTGGTTTTTCCAGAAGATGGGCCGCCATAAACAAAGAGGGGAAGCATGGGAGAATTCAGGGGGCCCAAAAGGTCAAGAAGTTCGAGAATTTGAGTACGACGTCCAGGAAAACTAGAAAAGAGATCTTCCTTACTAATGGAATCTTCTCCAAAAACAAGATCATTAAAAGTTGGAATGTGTGGATCACATATCTTCTTTGTTTCACCAGAATCCTTTAAGACAGCAGCTGAAGTGGACCGCGTTGTCCTTCTGTTAGCTTTTGGGCTTCCTTCTATAGACATTCCTCAAAAACCCGATAACAGCTGCGAGAATTCTGAAATTTTGAGAAGAAAGTTGAGTACAATCTTTATCAATATACTAGTTTCCCAAACATTTCCCAAACACATTTATAACACCAATGACTATCATTCAGTATTTCATTCTCTCTCTCTTTCTGGCTTGATATGTTCTGTTAGAGCTAGTTATGTTGTACCCTGTAACTAATACTCCATTACATTGAGGATTAGTTAACGTGGAGAACAATTTTCTAGGGCATAAGAGTATCTCCAATGTCTTCATCCATAACCGCTTAAAGCAATACAATTTCCTCTCTAATAAGTAGATTGTGAGTTGGTAAGCCAGATTGTCAAAGTCAAACTCAATGACGAACTCTCAAGCATAGAAAAAAAAGAGGTCATAACCTCAAAAATTCTTAAGACAATTTGGACCATGACAAAGCTACAAAAACAATATAATCCACAAATTAGAAAATTCTCACTCATTTTTTAAGAAAACTTTGTCCTTTGAATCTTATCACTAGAGAGCTCTTTAAGGTCCCAAGAAGAGTTGTCAACCCAGTGTAGAGTCACCTATCCTTGTAAAATTTATAGAGTAATATTGCGAAGTATATCTATTAGGACTATCTAAGCCAGAATTTCTGGGTCACTAAGGTTTCTTCAACTTTGGAGATCTAGAGAGGTCAACTTCCAAAATTTGATTGGTATTTGGAGGTGCACACACTCTAGGAAATCTAGAAAAGAAAAGTTCAGTGCCCCACCATTGTCCTCCTAAAACTCAATCTTCTTGCCGTTACCAACCTTGTAGGTCACTCTAAGTGCTAAAAGGTCTTTTGTTTCGTTGATGAGTGTTTCAAAGGCATCTAGCACCTAAGGCTCATGAGGTGAAAGTTAAACCACCATTTTTCCCTAGAGACTCCAAACTTAGCAGTAACAACCTTCATCCAAAGAGCATCTTTTTCATAGGTGAATCTCCAAAGCGATTTAGATAGAAGAGATGACTTTTAAGGCATAAGTCGCCAATAGTTAGGCCTCCACCAGGAGACTAACCTAGTTCAACTAACCAAATGAGAAACACAAATGCCTTCCCAATAGAAATATACCATTAGCTTTTTAATAATAAGAGCCACTTCTTCTATGCTAAAAAAGGTAGACATAAAACATGTAGGGAGATTATCCAGAGAGGTCTGAATAAAGTCAACCTACTACCTTTACTTTACAGAGAAATAGACTTTTTCCAACTTTGGAGCTTACTCTGAATCTTCTCTAAGATTGAGGTCTAGAATCTTTCAGTCCTTGGGTTGCCATTAAGGGAAAGACCAAGGTAAGTGGTTGGCCAAGTTCAAACCATACAACTGGCAAAGGAAGCTAATTCCTTGACTTCTGCCACACTGCAATTAACGCCTCCTACCACTTGTTACATTCAATCCAGAACATAATTCGTAATAATTTTGAAGAGATTGAGGAACTTGGCCTTAATTATGAAAGTAAATAGGCCTGGTCAGGAGATGGTTAGTGCAAGGTTTGGTTAACTTTGGGCTCCCGAGGAGAGTCCAGTTGTCAAGAACTTGGAGTCTCTTGGTCATAATCGTTTAGAGTTCTCAAGTTTGAACCTTCCGGTGAGCTTCTGGTACAAGGAGCAAAGCTTCAATTCTCGGTTTTTTTATCAAAAAAAAAAAAGGTACGCGTAACTTCAGTTGTAGAAAGAATGAAAAAAAAATTAAAAAAAAAAAAGACCATGATCTTCGGTTGCAATTTTAGGCTCATAATACTGCACATCATAGAATTTAAGCCCAGTATTAATCCAAGATCTTTATAATTAAACCCCATCTCCAGATTCTTCCTTGTTCAACTATAACTGAAAACAAAAGGTTAACTTAAATAGTCACAAGAACTCACTGCATACTAAACCACCATATCAATCACAGTTTAGAAAACTACGAAACAATGAACATAAGATGATTGAAATCAAACAAATCGAACGGCAGAGACAAAAAATTACAAACAGGGGAAAATCGAGAGAGCATAAAACCGAAGAAACACAAATTTCAAAAGTTCCATCTTACCAGTTCGAGAAGTAGAAAGGCGAGAGGGCCGCTTGAATATGGGAGGAGAGGGAAAGTGGAGGGGAGAGAGGCAATATATATTTTTCTAATTTTGAGAAATTAGATTTTTCTTTCTTCGTTTTTCTTTTTTCCTTTTTTTTTAACAGCGCGTGGGAGAATTCGAATCTAAATAATAATAAAAAAAATAATAATAATAATCTATACGGTATATAAATGGGGTTATGGATGATAATGTCTGCCTCTCCATTTTGCCCCCAACTTTTGAATATATACCTTTTTTACCCTTCAAATTTCTAAGAGACGACYGTTCGAGTTAAGGTGTCTGTTGAGATAACAAATCCAAAAAGTTGTGATCATTCGATGAAACAATGAATTTAATCCAAAAGAGTTGTAACTGTTCGAGTGAAAAGGTGTGTTTGAGAGAAGTTAATCGAATGAAAATTACAACTATTTGATTAAGCGATGCATCTATCCACGTATAAGTGTCATAGCAGATAATCTATCAAATGAAAGATTATTTCTTTTTCTTTTATGACCTAAAACTCATTTCCAAAATATTAATGAAGATTTTTCTTATCTTTATGAGTGAAAATTGAACCATGTCAAAAGAATATTTGAGATTCTAGAAACATATTTAATCGATTAAGAGGTATAGTAACAAAATCATGTATTCGTATTATCTTCAACTTTTATTTCTTTTAGTTTATTTTAATATTTTTATGTGCATTGCTTTTAAGTTATATATTAATGATACCTTCGTGTTTTTATATTTAGTCAAGGTTCTTTTCACGTTTTAAAATATATTCATGTTATATTTTAGTATTAGTTTTCTTATTTATCTTAATATGACTTTCTGATTGTTGTTGTTCTTATTTTATTTTTCTTGGTGATGTGATTCTTTATTCCACATTTTTTCAATGATTTCATGGCATACATGGTATTCAGTTTCTCTCTCAAATTTCAATTCTTTAATTTTGGCTCATTCTTCCTTATTACATAATATACAAAAGATAAAAGAATGAGTAAATAATTTAAGAAAACACACAAAAAGATTATTGTTGTTTTCTTAAGAAAGAAAAATTGACAACGAATAATATATTTTATTTGAAACAAAATATTAGTACCATTTAAAAATTCTGAGTGGTTAATTATTCTATATGTTAAATTGGTAGAAATATTATATTAAATATATTTTATTTGAAACAAAATATTAGTGCATTTAAAAGTTCTGTTGAGTGTTATTCTATACGTTAAATTGTTAGAAATATTATATTAAAATGTTTATAACCACGTGCAACGTGAGATTAACTAGTCTATAATCTATAATCTATAATATATTAAAAAGGTACGATCTCTAACAAATATTTTAGGACTATTATACCCCTTTAATTTTTGTTGAATTACAAACCAATAACTCAAATTAATTTTATTGTAAATTTTAATTTATATTAAAAGGAGCATTTATTTGAGAATGAGAGAAGTTTGTTAACCACCATTTGAATTTAATAATAAAATAAAATAAATTTTTTATTTATAATTTTGTGAAGTGACGAAGCCATTTTTTTAAAATAACATTATCTATAAAATATTTGTAAGTATGAAATAGTAACAAATATACAACTTATAGTTTTAGTTTTTTTTTTCATGATATCAAATATAAATGGAAATATTAATTAATAAAAGTTTGTTTAATTTTTTTAGTAAAATTACTTTTAAAAATTTAATTGCATACAAAAATTATAATTATTATAAAAGAAAAAATAATTCTACTTATTATATCAATTTATGTAGAAAAACTAGTCATGCTTTCTCTTGGACAAACTAATATCAAAATATATAAATTGACATCAATATATATCAATGCGTTTTAAATTTTCTCTACACGAATTTGAGTCCCTCGACGTAAAGTTTTGATGTGCCATGGTAGACGCCACTTTGGTCATTTTATTTTCAACTTTTATCTATTTTAGTCGTAATTTTGATATGTCTATTTTCGTCCCTGTACTTTTAAAAGGTGATCATTTTGGTCATTTCATGTTTTTTTTATCTTATTTTTTAACACAATTTAAGCACGACACTGTACTTAATAAGTTTGTTAAAACGTGGGCCAAAATTGTTAATTTGTATAGGGACTAAATGAACATGTTAAAAATACGTTGACTAAAAATGAACAAAAGTTAATATGTCAATGAACAAAATGAACCTTTTGAAATTTCATGGACCAAAATAAATTAGAGTTCAAAATATATAAACCAAAATAGTATTTAAATTGTTATTTTACTACATAATATCCACTTACTTAATACTTACCTTCAACCTATGTAGTTTGAGTACATCATTATGTTAACATGTCAGTTCACTTACTCGAAGTTACATTATCAATTTATTAAGAGAAAAAATAAAATAAGAATCAAATTGATCATTTCTAAAATTTTCATGGACTAAAATAGACATTTTGAGACCAAAATAGAACAAATTAAAGAATTTTGGAGGACTAAAATGAATATTTTAAAAGTTCCAGAATTAAAATGGAAATAATCTAAAGTTGATCAGCCAAAATGCAATTTAAATCTATAAAATTTCACTTATAAATTTTTAATATTATTATTTTTAAAAGATGAATGAGTAATTTTTTTCTTTTTATTTTTGGAGCTAAAGATGAATTTTTTCGTGTCCGTAATAGCAGTAGATTCTGGAGTACCTACTCTTTTTGGTCGTACTATACTTTTTTATTTATAAATATTTATTTAATATTAGTAGATCCCACGTCATTCTTAAATTATGCCGACATGACTAACAATGAATCACACCTCCAGTATGATTTTTCTTTTCATAATCCATGAACTTTTTAATCTTCTATTCTGGTTGAGTCTTAATCTATAATAATAATTATTTATTACAAATAGAACATTAGAGATGTATTTTAAAAATATATATTTTTATCATTTTTTAATTAATAGTTTGTTCGAACAAAATTTAATTAATAGTTTTTATAATGCAATCAATATAATTTTTAAAATTAACTCATTATATAAGTTACTTTCTAACACATTTATTTTTTTCTTCAATAAATACAAGAGGAGGAGGATAATCATACTTTCAACGTAAGAGAAGGTAATGTCAATCTATGTATAATTCAATTTGTTAAGACATATATCATCGACCAAAAAGTCAGAAGATGTTCGAATTCTCATTTTCGCATGTTATTAAACTAAAAAAACGTTATGGGAGGTAATAAATACTTTATCTACTATGTTATACTCGTATTCACTATTTTCTAATATGCATGTTTATATTACAAATTATCATATTTGCGATAATATAACGTGTACTTTTTCTAAAGATAATAGATAATTCATCTTGTCTAAAATAATTAAAAATATATATATTAAAACATATAAATTCTAAAATGAAGTAAAAATGTCTAAAAGATGAGGTAAAAGTTATTATTATTACATAAACACCCGAATCTAACAACACATTTAAGTTAAATTTGAAATAGCGAACGTAAAATAAATTTAAGTTAGTAAAAAAAAAGTTCAAACTCAACAATGAACTACTTTTTTGATATATGTGAGTATCCGAACCAACTTACGCGCACCTCGACTAGCAATCACCTGACTCTACAACATGGTGACGGGAAACAAATAGGAATTACTAATTCCTAAAATAGGTAGCTATCATGGGATTTTTCTCCATTCCCTATTAATTAACCCAGTTCGTTTATATAAAATTAAAATATTAAGGTTAAAGTTAATAAACTAGGCCAAATACATGAACCATAACCAAAAATCATATAGATAATATTTCAAATCAAAATCGCAGTAGTCCATGTCATAAAATGTTATGACTTTTTGAGAAGTAATTCACGGCAGAAGATAAACACGTTAAGAGTGAAAATAGATGTTAATGTTGCATTGCTAGAAGATTATCTAAAAAAAATGTTAATTTGCTAGAAGTTATGACCATCCATGAAGGACTTACCGAAAAGAAGATACCGATATATGACTAAAAAAAAAAAGATTTTAACTACTATAAAAAAAAAGCTATAAAAATTGTTTTTATTAACACAATTAAATCATTATAGAAGGCTACAAGTACGACCATCTACTACTAATCTTAAAATATTAAAACAAGTAAATAATATTTTTAACTAAGAACATGGTCCAACTGGTTAAAGCATCGATAACTTTTCTAAATTTTAGAGGTTTACATTTACACTCGCTATACTATTAAAAAAAAAGGCAGGTAATAGCACTAAAATCATAAATTCATCATACTTTTAAGATAAAAATAAGTCATGATTAGCTGTCAAAGAGATTCATAGAACAATATATTAACTACCACCAAACTACACTAACAATACTTGCCTAATAAGAAATAAGTATGAATTCTTAATGACTCAAAAATATTTGTTGCATCACTAATTTATCAAAACATTATGAACTATATACATAAATAGAGCTCTTGCTTATCAGTAAGCAAGCAAGATTTTTCTAAAGTGTATTACCCATATACTCAAATGGAGAGAATAGATGTGAGTTTAGCATAACTTCTTGAAATAGTACCATTGCTTCAGTATAGTCATAGTATCTTTTTACTCATCGTCTTTGTAGCTCCTGACGTTATAGAGCCTCCATGTCAATGGTTTGACCCGGCCCCTTCATGGTCTAGTGCTAGGGGTACTATAGACCCTATACCATCCATCGCGACATACTTACACGAGAATAAGCTTAGTTCTTTAAATCAAATGTTGAATGAAATCGATTCAGTTTTTAGATATCAAAATCATTCTCGTACTACGAAGAAGTGATATCCTTCGGCTTGTTCTATCTCACCTCCACAAGTATCTCGACTCCTCGTGCACTATGCGTTGTTGGTAGGAGCCTTATGTATATGAATAACTGTTCCAATAAGAGTTGGAGATGAGTCAAAGAGCAAGGACAATATTAGTGGCTACTTTGCCACCATAAACCCAATCTGCGGCTTCCTTCTCTTTGAGTTACAATCTCCATCTTTTGCATTTACAGTACCTCTTGAGATTGATCTGAAAATTGCATATAATCAGCAGATAGAAATGAACCCCAGATCTTCTGAGTAAATCCACACTCCACAATGCAACCAAACATCAACCATAAACACTGAAAAGGCGACAACTCGGAAACTTGATAAAAAATTAAACCAGAAAAATGGAGTAGATACCATTTGGATTTGAGGATAGGTTGCAACAGTCGGCTCAGTATGAAGATAGAGAAAGAGCTGCATCGGCATCGACCAAATGCCGTGTATTAGATCTAAAAGAGGGAAAGGTATTTCTGTTGCATGATTGGGATGTTTAATCTGTGCCATTAGGGTTTTTTAAACCATTTTGTTATTAAATGCTAGAAACTAGTTATAAAGATAACCCCAAGAAACTAAACTTTGATGAAGAAAATACAATAATCAATGGGAAATGACCAAACAGGGAATTGCACTAATTATCCACAGTACCCAGAAAACGAACATATAGATGTCGATATTACGTTTGAAAGCCAAGTATTAAGTATATTTACGAGTAAAAAAATGTTCAACCTTACCTCAGGATGAAGCATGATGGTATCTTTTCTTCAGTCTCCCCATACCAACTCAAGAATCTGCATGCATAAATTATTTGATGAGTAACGTAGATCAAAACCATACCAACTAAAAAATAAAGAAGCCATAGCAGAAGGTGAAAAGAAGGGATGTGTTTCTAACATGACTTTTCAATTTGATAAAGAAAATTATTCTTGATCTTAGCCAACTCTAACAGGAAGGAAGTTGTACAATCACTTATGGTGAAGAATGCTTCTAAGAAATTCTCCCACAAGAAAGGCAGCGATGCATTATCATGAGCAGTAAAAAACGTCACTTCCACAAAAGTGCTTTTATTTTTCTTTTGAAATGAAATCTAAGAATAGCTAAAATGATAACAACTAAAAAGCAAGAAATCGACAAGGCATCTTCATATGCTACAAAAAGCAAAGACGAAAAATCGAAAACTTATTAGGGGGTAAAAAGTTGTATTAGAATGTAAATCCACACCTAAAACACAGATGACTTGCTTCTCATACAATCTCACGGGAGACCTTGGATTTTCATTCCCTTCTTTGTGCTGAGGCTTAGGTTTACCAGCTTGCCTTGATTCTGGTTTCCAATTAGCTTTTGTCAAAGATTGACCTAACAAGTCAGCAATATCCGTTGCCATCACCTCAGCCTTCTTCACATAAGGAAAAGTTTCCTCCTTGAAATGCTGTGACAACCAAAGATACATTGACAATACTTGATGCTTTGTCTCAAGATCCAACAGCTCTGAATCATTTCGAGCAGAACCCTTTGGCATGCCCATCGCAATGTTCACAGGAACGTTGTGACTATATGATGAAGCGAACCTCAAAAGATGGTACATTGCCTTCGGATCTCTAACATTAACAGGGGCAAAACAAAAGTTAAAACGATCTTCAAGAGATAACCCTTGGACCTTCTCCAACATATTTGCAACTTTTTTTATATGATCATGCCGGCACAAAAAGTAAGAACCATCGAGACGACAGTTCTCACTAAATTTTTCCAGTAGCTGGCAAAATGTAAGATTAGAGACTTTCCCAGCAAACAGCTCAACCTGCTCAAAGTAAGGAAAGAGACCGATTTTCTTAACATCATCGAAAGGTTGTTTCAAACACTCAATCAAGTAATCAAGATCATCCAAATTTAATGTGGTTGTAAGTCCATCTGGATAGCGACTTCCTCTGCGCCCAGCTCTTCCAGCAATCTGCTTAATTTGTGAAGCAGGAACAGGCACAACCTTGTCCCCATTGTACTTTGCAAGGTTATAAAACACCACTCTCCTAATATTAAGATTTAGGCCCATTCCCACCGCATCACTGGCAACAAGCACATCAAATTCATTATCTTGATCATTAAACAAATTTGCTTGATGTCTACGAGTCTCCGGTGGTAATGCTCCATAAATAACACAACATCGATGTGTGGTGAGTTTTTCAATTGCCAACTTAACCTCAAATATCTCCCTTCTGGAAAAGGCAACAATACAATCACCGGATCTAACATTTCTAAGATCACCTAGAAGTGTTTTAGCTTCAACAACCAATGGCTTAAACCTCTCGTAGTGATGTTCAAGCAACTCATCCCCAGTTTCTGAACAAATTTTCCGTACAACATTTAGAACACTAGGATCCCCACATAAATGAATCTCATCAGCTTTCAATCCAAGCAAGGCCCTTGTCCATGCATATCCTCTATATGGATCTGACATCATCTGAATCTCGTCAACGACAGCAACATCATACAACTCATCTGTTGACACCATTTCAACCGTACAGGCAACATGACTAGAAAATGGTACAAGCTTCTTTTCTTGCCCAGTGAGAAGGCTACAATAAACACCATGCGCATTCACCTTATCAAACACTTCCATGGCCAATAACCTAAGAGGACTACAATAAATCCCTTTCTTCGCTTCCATAAACCTTTGCAAAGCATTGTAGGTTTTACCACTATTAGTTGGACCACAATGATATATAATTTTACGTTTCATTGCTCGTGCAAACGGAAACCAAGTGTGTGGCTTAGTAAGGTCAGCTGAATCAACCATACTTCGAAACCGCTTAATCTCATCTGGAAACTCTTCTAAACAATATTCAACAAATATTGGGAAAAGGAATTTGACAGCATCATCTGACGGACCAAGAAACACCAAATATTTGCCAACACCAGTACAGCATTTCTTGAAGAAAAAGCTTCGAAACTTATGTACAGCTGTTGGAAAAAATGACATACCAATGTAAATACCAAGGGCCTGATTGCAAGCCCAACCAGAATTGACAAAGTAGCGAAATACTTCTTGAAGAGTTAACCATTCAGATTGTTCTAGCTTTGCACCACCCATTTCAACACTTCGAAGCTCACGATATAATGCAACAGGATCACATGATCTGACGCTCTCATCGCTCCTCAGTTTCGTTAATTTTAGGTCATCATCACTATTTTTTGAATCATCCACAAGGGAACCACAAATACTACCCTCATTGAAGCCATCCCCACCCGTAACCATCATTGAATACCAAGTATCATTCTCAAAGCAAATATTTTTTCCAACATCTGCATCATACTCCCCAACTTCCACCACATTTGAACCATTTACACTATCGTCACTTTCCTTATCTTCCTCGTGCTCACTTATCAATGAGAACTGTCTCACATTGAAATTATTAAAGACTCCAAACTTTGGGCTATGAGAAAGCAATCTAAACCAAACTTGGTTTGCTGTTCTTGAGAAAGGAGGCTCTGGGTTACTTTGGAGAACTCTATGATCATCATAATGTCCAACAGAATGTAGCGACCGATTCCATGTAAAAATCCTAAACCGGTGGGCACATTTTCTTGAAGAGTAAATCCTTAAAATAGTAGTTGCAGGTCCTCTAACCATTGTTTAATAGCAAAAATTGTCAATCTGGATTGAAAAGTAAAAAATTGAAATGAAGTAATAACAAAAATACCCAACAGTAAGCTATAAGAACTTATTGTGAGCACCAGAAACTTGCTAAATAATCAAATATGTCCAAATTTCAATCTCATAATCAAATACTTCAATTGTAGGATCAAGTATTTCAATATTACCACTCGAAATCAAGAGGGAGCAGGGCACAAATATATTATATATTAAATTAAATAACATAACATAAAGTTAAAATACTTACACGTTAACTAGAGATTTTTTAATTTCCTCTGGTTTTTTCTCTCTCTCATTTTCTCAGGATTTGATGACAGTGGTCCTCAGGGAAAGTAGCCATATGAGAACCCTTTACTCACCCCTCCTCCAGTTTACCCTTACTTTTCTTCTTCTTCTAAAACTATTTACATTTTTGTCAGATCTACACCACCATTCTTCTATTTATCTTCTGAATTGAAGCAATGAGTAAAAAAGAGTTATTACAGATCCAAGTAACTTAATTTTTCTTTTTGGTTAGATTTGTTGAATATATGATGTTGTTTCTAAAGGATTTGTTGATTCCTTGTTCAGTTTTCAATGAGTAACTCATCCATACGTTTACAAGAAAATTAATCCTCCATTTTAACTACACGAGAGTGACAGCATAATAAATGAGGAACAAATAAAAACCAGTCTATACGATTTCAATATTCATATTCTTGGATTTATACTATTTCAAACAAAGACTAAGTGGACAGAAACAAAACGCACGAGGAAAAAAATATCATTTTACTCAAAATTGGAGTTGAAAAAAAAGAAGAAAGGGACGTAAAAAGAAAATTGTTTTAAGTAAATGAAAATGAAAGAAAAACAGAGGGTTAGAAAAAAAAAAGTCAGGTTATTAGAGTTTACCTAAGAAGCAAAAGAAAAAAGAAAAACAGAGACAGGGGCGGCGTCTGCGGCGGCAGCAGGGGCGAGCATCAGCGTCGGCGGCGGCGGCAAGGGCGAGCGGCGGCGGCAAAGAAGGCGTGCAACGGCGTCGGCTTCGTGGAGTGGGTGGTGTGTTTTGTTTTCGTGGGTGGGTATTAGGATTTTTATCATTTATTTGTTTTTTTTTAATTACTAATGGGCATTTGGGCCTTTTTATTTGGGCCCAGAATAATAATAATAATAATAAATCGATTAACATTAATTTTTTTATTACATTATATTTTTTTCAACCAATACATTATTATTATTTTACAATAAATTATTATTTATTACATATATTATTTATTATATGTATAATGATAATTATTATAGTTTTCAATAATAATAATAACTTGATTAACATAAAAAAAGTAGAAAATATGAAAAACGCATCTCTAAATTATTATTATTTTTATTATTTATTACATATATTATTTATTATATGTATAATTATAATTATTATAGTTTTCAATAATAATAATAAATTGATTAACATAACCAAAAAAAAAGTAGAAAAAATGAAAAACGCATTTCTTTGGGCTTGAACTCTAGACTCTCGTAAAAAAGTGAGTTCAAAATAAAAATTTTCAAACTACGATGACCAAAATTAACGAAGTTGAGAGTTCATGAACCAAAACAGTATTTTAACTTTAAATTTATAATTTATAGTTTTTTATTTTTGTTATTAAGTTAAGGTTAAATTACTTTTTTGGCTTTTATACTTTCAATTTTTGTTCATTTTAATCTCTATAATTTTTAAAAGGATTGTTTTGATCCTATACTTTTAAAAAGTGACAATTTTTCGTCGTTTGATTTTATTGTTAGTCTTATTGTTTCTAACACAATTTCAACACTACTATTTTTTGAAATGTAATCATAACTTTATATTAAAGAGTTTCTCTCGTACGTAAAATATATGCTAAAATTTTGCAAATAGGGAAAAAATAATCATTTTTTCAAAGTTTTGGAACTAGGATTAAATTGAATGGTAAAAGTACAAAGACCAAAATAAAGATTTTAAAAGTAGAGTACTAAAATTGAACAAAATCTAAAACTATAGGACCATAATAGTATTCGAAACTTAAATTTAAAAACTCAAAGGAAGGCAAATTATTTAAAACTTTTCATCTTGTTTAGAACGAGAATGATTTCAAATGAATTAAATTAATTTTTTTTTTGTTTGTATGTTTAAAAATAAAATAAAATTTTACTAACTTAGACTTTAATCTAAATTTATTAGTTCTAAATTAAAATATGAGGATGTTTAATAGTAATTTATTTTGAAATTGTATGAAATCTTGCAAAAATCTGATAATTTTGATTGAAAATTTTGTTTACATAAATATAGGATTTGAAATGGCATTAAAAAAAATCAGGACGTAACAAACCACGGAATTCATTTGAAGTCATGACGATTGAAAGGGCTCGAAATCGGAGGTAGCAAACAAAACAAGCAAGGAAAAAGAGGAAAAAAAGAAAAAAAAAAGGAAAGAAAGAAATTGAAATATAATTTATTTATCTATTATCCATTCCAAGCGATTGGCAGTTGCAGAGCCGAAAAACACAGAAAATAGAAAAAGAAAAAAGGAGGAAGAAGAAGATGGGCGATCTCTACGCTTTGGATTTCGATGGAGTTCTCTGCGATAGCTGCGGAGAAAGCTCTCTTTCTGCTGTTAAGGTTCGCCTCTCTCACTTCCCCTCTTTGGTTGTTCGGAAAATGGACTAAAATTCATCACGGAAACTGAAAATTCGTCCCTGTGAGAACTATAATTGCTTCAATTCCATGATTCGAGGTACTGAGCTATTGATGAACTCGAGGTTTAAATGTATTCGATTGCCTATTGTTTGTTTGTTTTGAAATTGTCTCAGAATTCAAATGTGGAATGAGGGTTTAAGTGAGGGATTGGCTTCTTTGTTTCTTCTTCTTTTCAAGTGTAATTCGTTAGTTGATTGATTATGCTGTGTGGTACTGTTTGAATGTTCTTAGGCTGCTAAGGTCAGATGGCCTGGTTTGTTCGACAATGTGGATTCGAGTTTGGAGAATTGGATTGTGGATCAGATGTACACGGTGAGTTGTTCTTGCACTTCAGTTATTTATGTCTTTTTTTTTTTTGGGCAACCAAAAATTTGGTGAATCTATCTCGCTGAGAAGTGTATGACAAACTTTATAGAGTGCGTTTGATACATATTCTGCTAAAAATTAATAAGATTTGTTTTTACATATTGTCTATAATTTAAAAGTTTGTTTGAATTTTTCACCAAAAGTTGAAAACTTAAATTGGTTTGTTTCTATGTTTCAAATATAGCTTAGTTAAATAAAGATTGAAATACAGAAAAAAAGGTAAAATGTATTCTTATAAAGAGACATATTTTGAAAAATTGCAAACAGAGAAGGAGATTACGAAGAGCAAATGATGGGGCAGGAGTTTAAGCGACCTGATATCTCTAGGACCTGGAGTTAATTTCAGACATAAAAATTACCTCTGTTGTTTTGAAAATAACTTTGTGTCGTTTAGAACAAAAATTTAACGAAAACATGTTTGTATTACAGTTCTCTTGTTTTCTTTCGGCTTGTATTCGTGGATGAATCTGTCTTTTATAGCAATTGAAATTGTTTTTTCTTATAAAGTTTAGGATTTAGAGCAATTTTTTGTATACTTAATTTGTTCTGTTTGACTCTTTTTATTGGGTTGTGTTTTCATAATGCCCTTTTGCATTCTTTCATTTTTCTCAATAAAAGTTCGGTTTTCCATTTAAGGGAAAAAATAGAGTGCACAATAACTTAAATATTTAAAGTCATTCAGCCACAGGTCTTAGAAACAACTTCAAAAACAAAAATAGAGAAGTGTTTTTCAAAACAGCTTTGAAATGCTCTCATATCGATCCTCCACATGATAACCCTTCCTACCTTTTGTCCCAAACCCCCTGCATACTTCATAATTATNAAAAACTTGAAATGTTTCAGGGGCATTTTACTTGTATTAAAGAGAGAGAAGCGCTAAGAAATTTCATTTGCAGAAATAAGTTTCCAATAAAAAGATTGTTAATATAACTAATGTCCTGTACTGTGGTAGGTCCGCCCTGTGGTTGAGACTGGATATGAAAATTTATTGCTGGTGAGGTTGCTGTTGGAGATGAGATTACCCTCAATTAGGAAATCTTCGGTGGGTATATGTGCCCACAACTCTGGCTTCAGTTTATAAAATGAGTTCTGTTGACATTCTTAGGAAATTCTGCGGACATGATATTTATTTTTTCAATTAGAAAGGTTGCAGAAGGGCTCACAGTTCCTGGAATATTGGAGAACTGGTCAAACCTCAAACCGGTCATCATGGAAGAATGGGGAGAGAATAGAGATGCTCTCATAGACCTTTTTGGAAAGGTTAGAGATCAATGGATGGATGAGGACATAACAACTTGGATCGGTGCAAATAGGTATTATGGACAAGCTTTTCAAATCGAATCGATGCCTTGCTTCCAAATAACGATGGATAAAGCCACCATAAAAATTTGACCACTTCTTTTTGGTAGCTTTCGTTTCTTATGTTTGAGCTCCAGCATCTTGATTTTCCAATTGACCTTCACTCTTTACTGAGGAGGAGTAAGGCTGAGGGCTAGTTGGGAGTTTATGAATCTTTAGGCATTAAAAACTTACAAAAAGATTAAGCTGAAGCCACAAAAGACACAACTATGGATATCTTTGAGGCTTATCCATTGAATTGTGAGGAATTGTATCTGTGATCCCATCATCAAGAGTCTGATATATGAGCCTTGCTATGTTTTTTATTTCGATCGTTACTTGTTTTACAATACTGTAGAATGACTTTAGGCTTACTCAGAGTGGATACTCCAAAATTTAGCTCCTGTTTATGAAATCAACTAAATTTACACCTGAAATGATATTTTTAATATCTATGGGCATTATTTCTCGAAGCTTCAGTAAGAAAAAATCACTTGTGATTTCTAGTTATCCCTTTTACCATTTCTTTTTACTGTTATATGAGCTGTGACTGAATTAATACATGTTAATTGAATCAAGAATGACATATTGTCCACTATCATATACTAATCACTTCCACTTTTCGATTTGGAAGGCTATAGTATCTGCTTAACATCCTGTACAGATTTTATCCAGGTGTTCCTGATGCTCTGAAGTTTGCAAGCTCAAGGATATACGTAGTTACCACAAAGCAGGTTTGGTCCAGACCACACAACCATCCTTTTAAAGTCACAGAAGTTTGTCCACTGACATGCACGCCTTCTCACGGATCTTCTTTTCTTTATCCAGAGTCGATTTGCCGATGCTCTACTACGAGAACTTGCAGGAGTGACCATACCTCCTGAAAGAATATATGGTCTAGGATCAGGGTATGTATTAGTATTCTACTTTAGCATAATCTTTAGAACTAAAATTGGTTCTTTGCTACAAATGCATGCATGTTGCCTTGAATTGTTTAACTTATCATGAAAATTTGTTCTGAAATTAACGATTGCTTTCAGTCCAAAGGTAGAAGTGTTAAAGCTGCTCCAAAAGATGCCCGAGCACCAAGGACTGAAACTGCAGTAAGATATATCACATAATATTTTCACTCATTAATTAATAGCATTGGCTTTATTTATTTTTTTATTTTTGTAGGAGGCCCGTTTAGTGGCATTCTTGTTTCTAGTTTTTCGTTTTTCATTTCTCGTTTCTCGTTTCTCAGTTATTATTATTATTTTTTTTAATAAAGAAGAATAGAACTATATATGGTAACCGTTTTTTTCTTTTTAATTGAAAAATGAAGTATAAACGTGTTTGATAATCGTTTCTATATTTTGTTTCTTGTTCTTTATAATTTTAGATTTAAAAAAAAAAGAGTAAAAGTTTTGTAATGAACTTTAATTTTTTAAATCAAATATTAAAAAATTTTACGTTTTATTTATTTTTCAAATATATATTATGCATTTTATGAGTGAATAATGATAAAATAATGCTTTAATTTATGTTTTGAAAAAAAAAAGTGTCTTAGAAACGAGAACAAAATACAAGAATTTTGATTTTATTATTTAAAAAAAAATTTACGCAATTTCATAAACTTTCTTAAATTAAGAAACGAGAAACATGAACAATTACCAAATGCTTATGTTTCTAAAAGACTTGAAAATGAGAAACAAAAAACAAGAAATAGAAACGTTATCGAATGAGTCCTAAGTGGGTTACTACTCGTAATCTCCTTTCTCGTTAACAATTTATCAAAAAGAAAAGAATAAATAATGATAAAGAGGCAACTAAGAATAGTGTGCTTCAAATGTGGCCAGTTTTGTAGAAGATCGATTGGCTACCCTAAAGAATGTCATCAAGGAGCCAGAGTTAGATGCTTGGAATTTGTATCTGGGTACCCTTTCCTCTCAGTTTTAACAAATTGTCCACTTCAATTTGTTTTAGATTATACTAGAGTTTGCTTCTAATTTGCCCTATTTAATTGATTGAAAGATTATATATACAAAAATTTGCAGCTTTTCAATGCCATCAAGGATTGAAAATGGGCATTGAGTAGTAATCTGGGTTTACTGTTAACAGGGGACTGGGGATATAACACACAGAAAGAGAGAGAGGAAGCAGCAAATATTCCAAAGATTCAAATTATTCAGCTCTCTGACTTCAGTAAGAAGCTCAAGTAGCACCTCATTGTGTTCCCAGTTGGTATTTATATATCCTTTTTGCTGATCAAAGCTAGTCCTTATGAACTAATACAATCACTTGAATTGATATTCATATTTAGTTACTCTCTTATTAAATCATTGTAATGATTCTCTAATTGAGTTGAGAAAAGATTTTGGCATTTCAATGAGTTGGTCTTCTCACTTAGGGATGTTATTGTGCTGCCCAACAATATTATACATTCTCAAACTTCAAAGTAATTGCTCAGCCTGTTAAGATAGATGGCCGTAGGAGTGCACAATGGTCAAAGATCATCGGTTGGAAGATTATGCGAGGCTGACTAACAAACAACACTGCTGGTTTGATGCGAAGTGARAACTTCCAGTTACGATCCTGGCTTTGACCCACGTAAATTCATGCAGCTTTGTTTAAAAAATAAATTTGTGGATAGATAGACATTAACTGACTAAACTGTTGGTTTTGCGATTCGATCATCAATTCATTCATTTTAGTCCATCAAATAGGTTTTTTGGTTTGGTTTGTACACTCCTAGATGACCCTCCTAAAAAGAGTCCAGTCGTCTAGAAGAATAATATTGTCTAAGAGCACATCTATATTTCAATAATGGATTAATAACTAATAACGAAAAAGAGACTCTATGGCATTTTTAGGATGAACAAAGAATTGTATGCTCTCTATCATTGGACGATAGAAATAAGCAGGAGTGAGATTCGACTCACTCCTAGGGAAGGAATTGATGTAAAAGCACATCTAGCACTTTGATGTCATACGGGTAAATGAATCAAGGTTTTCAAACATAAAAAGTTGGATGTGCAAAAGTAGAATAACATTCATCATTATCAAACTTGATTCTAGTTCTATATTTGACTCCTTGAATACAAATATGATCTTGTGGGATTGATGCAAGTATAGTGACAACCACAAAACTGCACAAAGAAGATAGAACAAAATTGAATCAAGTTTGAACCTCTTTTGAATTCACTTTCTTGCCCATTCTGCAACTGAAAGGCCAACCCTACAGTTTCTCCTCTAAAATCAAAATGTAAATTCCTTTGTTCTTTTTTAAAATACTCCAACTGAAATAAGAGGATTCAAAGAGCACATATCAGTCAAATACTCGGAAGCTTGGGCACTGTTTGGTTAAAACTCGAAGAGGATAAGCTAATGTTTAGGCTAGGTTCAAGCATAACACGAGCCCTCGAGTCTAATGCATGCATTTATTGAAAATATTAACGCCTTCCAAACGTTCAAGACAACTACCAAAATCCACACCTGATGCCATTGTCATGACATTTGAATTGCACCAACCCTACAAAGGGGTAATTTATTTCCTTCACATTTGTGAATATTCAGACTAACTCGGGTGCCCTTCTAAATTCATAACCCTACARCATTTGCCTACAACATTTGCCAACAGAGCTCATTGAGTTCATATTTTTAAACTCAATCCCTCRTACCTATCTATACTTTTCACTTGCCTTGCTGTTGCTGATCACTGTGCCAATTCTGTATGTTCTGATAAAGTAATGGAACATACAAAAAGAATCAAAGAACTCTCAGGCCAGAGAAGTTGGATGAAGAAAATACCTCCCATTGGCACAAATCAAAGAGAAAGAATATCTACAAATACCTATTAGAAACAGAGCTCAAAAATCTGGGAAGTTAAATCCAAGTTTAAATTTATATTGCCAATATTTGTAACTCTCATCCCACATTACCAAACAAACATAACCTAAATCTATAAGTCATTGGTATGCAGCAAGATTGAGAACATTAGAAGCCAGAAAGAAAAAATAATGCTTAAAAATCCAAGACTACTCAACAAAAAAGAGAGAAAACGAAACAAACTTAAATCACAGAAACCCTAAAATTTCCAGTTCATGGCGTTCTACTTCACTATTCCTCAGAAGCGGTATCAGCACTCTTGTTGTTGTGTTTCTTGGCGTACCTCTGATTCCTAAGGAACTTCGGATCCATCTACACACAGATTCGATCGACGAAACGAACAATTAAAACTATTCTGAAGAAGCATTCTATAAAAAAGAAAACAGAAGCGATGGTATTAGTGAATTCCATACCCCTTTGGTGGAAGTGTGGCGATGGTTCCTTGGTTTCTTGATGCCATTCTTATGGGCTTTGTGGGACTGATTGTGCGCCGTGTGATTCTTCGACTTGGCCATCTCTCAGGGAACGGCGAACGGCGAACGGCGGCGTGAGAGAAGAAACAGAGAATGGAGATGAGACCCTGAAGGAAGCGGCAAAGTCTGAAACCCTAACATTAAGTAACATTTATATATGTATGTATCGTTGGTTCGGTCGGTCGGATTGAACCGGACAAATTGAGCCAGGGCTTGGGCCATATTCTCATTCAGTTTCTTAAAATGGCTTAAATTTCCAATTTTCAATAAGCTAAAGGCCGGTTTAAAAACATTCATGTTTGTTGTTCCGTTTATAATTTTCTTAAAGAAATCTAAACATTTCGTAATTAAATATATTTCTTATTTCTGTTTTTTTATAAAACATTCTTAGAAATTTGTTCTTTTTTGTTCCAATTTTCAATTTTATTCCAAAATATAAATAAAAATATTGTTTTATCATACTTGAATTCGTGGAGGTTATGCCATGCAGTCATTTTTCATTTATTAAAATGAAGAAACAGAAACAAGAAACAAGAATATTACCAAACGAGCACTAAAAATTTTCAGAAATTTTGTATTAATATTTTACAACTGTTCATCTTCGCTATGGATAGATTTTCAGAATTTCTCTTTTTTTTTCTCTAAATTACCTCCATTTAATATTTTTATATTATATTTATTATGTTATTTTGAATTTATTATTTTTTAATAATATTAATATTTATTAGTGAAYTTTTACTTTTCAACAAACAAATATATATGCTTATCTAAAAAAAGGTTTAATATATATTAATTAAACAATTAAATAATTTTTAATTTTATAGTATTAACTTATGTTACCTACTCAATGGCATCATTTGGATGAGAACTATAGATGGGGAGTGTTTAGTGTGCGCATGCACCGTGCATGCGTGCATGTGTAAAAAACGTAAGCAGCAGCGATCGAACACGTGTTTTRTTGCCTGTTGGTTAAAGTTTAGGTACTAATAGTCGATACTAAAAACTTCAGGGGAGCTCCTCGACCCTCAGTAGATCAGCCCTTGTTATGAATGGAGGAGGACCTAGAGGAAGAGAATGCCAGGAACAAGGAAGTGGAAGCGATCGATWTTTAATATATCATATTTATATATAGTATTTACATGTATAAAGAAATACTATTAATTATCTACCATGGAAGCGATTAATATGAATAATAATGTATGATATGTTAAGGGTTACCACTAGAGGAGATAACGGTAAAGATGAATATATACATAGTTAATATTATTATTTCAAGTATTTTTATTGACACACTAAGACGCACCATAAAATTTCTAGCCATAAACAAAAATAAGGAAAAAATAGTCATACAAATAGGATCTGCCAACAGCAGCATAACTCAATATTTTAAAACATTATGACTAAAGACGGATGTATATACGGTTGAGCCTCGACTTTCAAATGTTTACTATTATTAATAAATAGTATACATAATTTATCAATAATACAAGTTGGCACAGCGGAGGTGGTTGGAGTTCAAGTCTCATATCAAGTATTCTTTAGTTTAAAATTTCTATTAATTATATATATAATACTGTACTAAAAAATATATAATAATTTTTATTATTTTAAAATATTTTTTCGAACATTTTCTTTGAATAAATATAAATTATGTCAATTTTGAAAATGGAAAAACATAATTTAAAAAAATAGCAATATGTAAATTGGAAGGTTGAACATGTGGCATTTTGATTAAAAATAAATGTCAAAATCAATTTACTAAATTCAAATTGATTATATACATCTACTCATGTCTGATAAAAATTCATTGGTTCGAATTTCAACTTCCACGTGTTCGTATTCAATAAAATTTTGTGGGATGGAGGAAAGTAGAGGGACAGCCACAAAATTGCAGAAAGAAGACAGAAGAAAGAGCCAAAAATAGTACAAAATTGGAGCAAGTAATAAAAAATAATAATAATAAATAATTAATAATATAGGGCTATACGGACTCGAAAAGTTTGGTTCTCTTTTCTCAATTCACTTTCTTGCCCATTCTGCAACTCAAAGGCCAACCCAATCTCTCTCTMATATATATCAGAATGTGAATTTCTTTGTTCTTTTTTACAATTTCCAACTAAAATAGGGTGTTTTTTTTATTAATAATGCTAATAATAAAGTTATTTTAAAAATATAATATTTTAATTAAAATTGTTTAAAATATGGTATGTTTTGAAWTTTTTTTTAAAAATATAGTAATTTTAAAAAAGTGAAGGGTGGTCGTCCATCCAACATGGTTGTCTCTAAGAGACCATCTCATTTATTTATTTTTATTAATCGTAGTCATCTCATTTATTTATTTTTATAAATAAGAGAACAATGTTTGTAGTCCGTCAAGTTACAGTCTATCGATCTAATCCGTTCCACAATGGGGACGTCGCCGCTTACGATGTGGCTGACGACGAACTAGTGGTGCCGCTGGTGTCTCTTGACTCTCTGTAGGGTCTCGATCTTCCGTAGGGTTGAAGTATTGTCCATGCTCTCCACGTCCACGTCCATGGCCCCCTCCATAGTTATACTGCGGCGGCAARGATGGTGTGTGATACTGACTAGAACCAGGAGTCGGTATCATGACCATAGGCGTGGACGGACCAGCATCATCCTGTGTCTGTGTAAATGGTGGAATGTCTTCAACCCTATGATAGATAACTTCAGGTACGGGATCGTCAAGCTCTACTGGAGCATCTTGATCTACTTGAAGAGCGGAGGAGGCGGCACGCCGACGGCGGGGCAGACAGGAGTCGGCGGCRGAGCAGCGAAGTGGCGGCCGCGGGGGAATAAAATATTGGTGGTGGGGTAGGCTTTTATAAAAAGGGTTTGGGGTGGGTTTGGAGAGACGATCATCTACCACGTGGCCAATTTTTAGACGTGGTCGTCTCTTGAARAGACGTTCAAAAATTGGTCAAATTTAAATAACATGCAACGTGSCGTCCGGCGTGGTGCCATGTCGCATGGTCATCTCTTCAAGAGACGATCACATGGGATGGTCGTCTCCTTTGGTTTTTTAAAACAACCATATTTTTAAAAAAAATTCAAAAACTACCCTATTTCGAATATTTTTAATTAAATAACAATATTTTTAAAATAAGTTTAATATATAATAATATTAAAAAAAAACCCAACTAAAATAGAGAGGCTTCAAAGAGCACATATAAGTCGTTTTCTTTTTGGACTATTTGGTACCTTTCCTGTTTTTTATTTTTGTTTATTTCATTTTTTAATAATTGCATGACCATAACATCTATATGAATAGAAGTATAATATAATATTGATATTCATCGAGTTCCATTTCAAAACTAATTGATAATGAGAGGAGTAGTCCACGTCTAYTATAAATCTATGTARGGTATCTTTTCTTTTAAYGTGGGATTCTTAACAGAACAAATTGGAAATTGRAACAAGAAAGAAAAACTTATTTTGGTTGGTTCCAAAAATTTTGATACAATTTTGGAGATGTTCCCMAAAAAAAAAGGAGAAACAAAAAACATAATTAGTTGAAGAAATGCTTAGATTTCTTAAGAAAATTAGAAACGAGAATTAAGAAACGAAAATGTTACCAAACTAGCTTTTCTTGTCTGTCGTTTCTAGTATCTAGTATCTAATCTTATCTATGGAGTGATTCATCTCCTCAACAAGATTGAGCAAACATAAGAGACAAGATTTTGCTATTTTTAGAATGGGTTTGCTTTTTGACCCAGGAGGTTGTCTTGAAACTAGCCATTAGTTTGCTATTTCTTTTATTTTATCTTTCTCAAAAGAAAAAAAAAATCTAAAAGTGACGCTAACATAACTTGAAAGGCCAACCTACAAACGCATTAACTAGTCTCGCAGTATTTAATATGTTGAAAAAACTCGTACGATTTAAAAATATCGAAGTAAGTTGTCTCTTGAAAATGGTGTAATGGCAAATGTCATGGGGCTTATGCTATCAGCTACCATAGGATCTTAGATTTCGACAAGTCACACGACGTTAATTTTGAAAACTAAATAAAATATATATATATATATATATATATATATATATATATATATATATATATATATCCTAAATAAGTTATTAGTACAGTATAGACTTTGAATTCATTTTCTAAAAAATATTTTTTACTTTTTACTTTTTTTTCATAAAATAATCATGACAATCAACCCACTAAAATTTTATAAATGTAAATTTATCATCGCAGCCCACTTATTAAGTTTTATTTTATTTTTCGATCATAATTTGTCATGATAGTGTAGTCATAAATTTCTATTAAAAAATTTCCATTAAATATAAAATTTGTGTTAAATTTTTGCAAATAGAAATTAACTTAGTAACTTTTTTAAAATACATGGACAAAAAATTAATGTTTTGAAAGTATAAGAACTAAAATAAACAAAATTTTAAAGTAGAAAGACTAATGAATATTTTGAAAGTATATTGACTAAAATAAACTCAGCTCAAAAGTATACCGACCAAAATTGTATTTAAAGTTATAAAATATATGATATGATAAATAAAATAACTCACCATCAAAACTCGGATACCCAAATTAATTCTCAAGTAAATTTATGTAAAACTATTTAATCCTACACGTTCATATATGATTTTTTTATTAGATAATTATTCTTAAAGATTTTACCCATAATAATATTAAGAATATTTTCTTCATCTGAAAAATATTACATTCATAATTTTCTAATCCATTATTTTGTAGTATCTAAATGGACTTAACAAACTCAAAATTTGTATTTAACAAAATTCAAATTTAATAAATCTAAATAAAATTGCAAGTCAAGCCGCCCTTAGACTCTTTTTGACCGTTGGTCTCCCACCATCAGCCACCCTCAAACATACATTGAATAAGAACTATTTGTGGTTTAATATTTAATTTTAAAACGTTTAAAGCGATTCCGTCCAAAAAAAAAAAACGTTTAAAGAGATTGGGTAAGTCATTTTTTATTGTTGAAGTGAGGGAATCCATTTTTATTTATTTATTTATTTTATTACTACGTATTGGGACGATTCGAATTCATGATCTAACCGAAACTATATACTTTAACTGTCAAAGCGAATATAGCTCAGCAGTAATTGACATATATCTACAACTAAAAAGTTGTGAGTTTGGTAGTTAAAAAAAAATTTATATACTTTAACAAGTGAACTACGCTCAAATTGGCAAGTGAGGGAATCCAATTGATTCTTACGGTTTTCTATTTGTCTTTATATATAAAAAAGAGTATTCTTACCTGCATTCAATACATTTTTTAAAAATATGTTTGGTACACCATATTGATAGAATTTCATAGAAAAACAATGATTAGAATTTGTCTTTCATTGAAATTTGTGAGTTTTGAAAATTTTATTTAATGGTTGAGTTTGTATTAGACCTAATTTCGTGCAATGCTTTATTTTCATCGGAAATAGTGAGTTTTATTTTTATGTTTCTTTTTATTAAAATTAGTGGATTTGGAAGTTCAATGTAGTGGAATTGTTCCATTATAAGAAAAAAATGATGAAATTGAAAATTTAAGGTGAAAATAAAAAATTTCTCAGAAGATATATAATTTACAATGTAAATCCAAACAAAATCAAAATAATTAGACATTTATAATTCTCTCGGTGGGCGTAAGTTATTATTATTATTTTCTAAAGAAATTATAAAGTGGAGGTAAGTGAAGTTGGACTGAGGCTGAGGGATTTATTCCTAATATTTTTGTCCCTTTTTCTAAGGGTAAAATACCATTTTTGTTCCTAAAATTTGGAGTTCTTTTTTTAAAGTATAATATTTGAGGTAATATTTTTATTATAGATAAGTATTTAATTGGTTGAGTTGAGCTATGGTCAAGTTGGTTGGAGTAGTATCTATTAATTCTTTTGACTTAAAAAGGAATAGTTTGGTCCTGAGCTTGAAAATTGGTTCTAAGCTCTCGACAATTAGTTGACCTAACAAAAATGAGCTTAGTGAAATGAAATGGGTCTCACGTATCCGTTTTGTTAGACCGTGTTTATGTATAAAATAAAATAAGATCAGACCTGATTAAGGTCGGACACGTGGGCTAGCTGACTCGCTCAATCAAAAAATGACTTGCACAAGATAGGCAAACACTCCGACGCTCAAGTCACTATTAGTTTGGACTCAATATTAAGTTCGAGATAGAATTTGATACCTGTCTGCAGTAGTGATGACAATAAAATAAAGAAACACAAGAATTAATATGTCAAAATTCAAAACCGAAGAAAAAACCACGACCCGCAAGAAAAAATTTACTACGTGAAAATTATTACAATCACACAGATTTCTCTCCTCAACCCCAATGCAAATACTGCTCAATTGGGATTATTAAAACTCAAGCTCACGAGCTCTTTTTATAGTAGTTAGAACACACTTCCTTCTTGTTTCCGATGTGGGACAAACTTCGATTATAATATTTTGCCAAAACCCAACAATAGGTTGGGGATCTGACAGGCGGTTATCGATGTCGAATAGTAGGTCAGACATGTCTCAAGTCGTGAGTTGGACCTGAATGCTGGTTGCACCGTAGGATGGTTCCCACAACGAATTTATGACTCAGTATGGCACCTCGAAACCGTCCGAGATGACCATAGATTTCCGACGTATCCAGGTGGACCTCTCCTTGTCTTTCATGTGGCAATGYGATTTTCATCCCCAAATAGACCRTTTGTGGAGTTTGTTTCATAGTTACAGACGGGTGTCCAATCTTTTTAAGGCCATATAACTGGTTTGACGAAGCTATTTGGTACTGCATTATCGCATGATTCCAACGATTGAAGAAATTAGATCACATGAGAATAAAATAAATGCAGTTATCGGCTAAGTCCAATCATTTAAGGAATTATTTCATCTAAATTCCCAAAAACATCTAATTTTGAATATCGAGTACCAAACTTCAAACCAAATGTGAGATTCCCTGGAAACAAACTTAGATACCAACACGAAAAGAAAGAACAAAAGAAGACGGAAAAAAAAAGAAAAAAAAAAAGAAAAAGAAAAAACCAAGAAAGCCGCCACAATCGCCAATTGGAATCCCCTTGTAATTCCCCGGTGGGCCCACTCTTAGGGTTCATGCATCTCCCAGCTGAAGATTCCTTCCACTAAAATTTCAAATCCAAATTACAATCAATCTCTACCCATACTTTAATTAGATTTTGTTTTCCATTTTTTTAATATAACGAGGATGGTAATTTAATTTCTCTCAGGTAGATGTCTTGATCGCTAAGCTTTTTTTAATTCAATAAACGTGAGATGATATAATAAGTATCTTATCTACTCAGTTATACTTAGATTCATTTGTACTTTCATGATATTGATAATTTATGCCATATTTATCTTAGAGGGAATGTGAATAAAAAATTGTTATTAAACTATATACCATCAATAATATAATAATAAACAAATTTTGATTAAAAAGTGATTATCAAAGTAATGTATTTGTAATTAGYTAGAAAGAAGAAATAGAGATAGTAGTAAGTGTTATATATCTGATTCTGATTCAAAATCTAGACAATTTTAATAAACAACATCTACAGAATTTTGATTCCAATTCTAGAAAAAATTATGGTAAACAACATCAAAGAAATAACATTCTCATTCATTGATTTGATACCGATTGATTTTCATTTTGATTGATTCTAAATTTAATTTCTGGTGGTATTAGTTTTAAACTTTCATACATAAGTATTTAGTTTCGATGTAATTTAAAACTTGCAACAATTTARTTTCTAGATTTTAGTGTATAACAATTTAATTAATTTAAGRTAGTCTAAAATTTACAAGGATTTAATTGATTCTTACCATGAAAAATCTTATCAACATGAAATATCGATTAATGATTTAGTACACGTATAAAAATCATTTTGTCCCGAGCAATTTGCAAACTCCATTACATTTTGACTAAGGTTTTCACACTATTATGGTAAAAGTCTCTTAAACATACTCTAATTTATTAAYTAATTTCGTTTTTCAAACCATGACAAAAATAATTTAAAAATAAGGTTAAATTATAAAAAATACTCCTGAAATTTCGCATTTTGTTTTAAAACATACTTCTATCCTTTCAAAAGTTTAATACTACATTTGACACTCCATAAACATTTCAAATAATATTTTTTGAGCAAAAATCTATAAAATATTCTGAACAAAAAATTGACGTGTCAGAATATGAACAACGTGSCAAATTAACATCCCAATTTTACAAAGTCTTCTCCTTGATTGTCAAAAGAGYTTGCTCCACAGATTGTCTACTCAATTTTGCCCTTTCAAAAACAATAGCTTCTTCCACATTTCCTCTCAGTCAAATTTTCATGTTAATTGYCACATCGTTCCAAACATCAAATTTATGTTCAAAATATTAACAGATATTGATATTTTTAAACATTCATAAAAAGTAAATGGTAGCATTGAGTTTTTTTGAAAAAAGATAGGAGTATTTTAAAGGGTAAAATTAACCTAAAAATAATATTTTGAACTTCAATATACGTATACATATATAAATTTGTAATTTAAYCTAAATTAAAAATAAATATAAAAGGGGTATTTAAAACTATTGCTATTGGAAGTTTATGACAAATTTTTTTCCTTAAAATATATATATATATAATATAATATATCGAATAAAAAAAAAAAGAAAAAGGCAGAGGACGAGGGGGCAAGCAGAGCCAACGAACTCCACTACAAAAGCCCGCGGCAGCCATTGCCTTCCATCACTCCATTTTCTCCTCTCTGCAAATTCCTCCTCTCTCTCGCTCTAAGGGCTTTTTCTTCTCCCCAATTTTCAGTGTTGCAGAGACGAGAAGCTTCCCCTAATCGACGCCAATGGCCGCCGCTGCTTCGAGAATTTTGCTGAAGCAGAGAGCCGCGATTTGGTCCGGCAGTTCCACGGTGAGGAAATTGTTCTCCACTCAAACGGTTCTCGATTCTCCTTCTTTCGCTCAGCGGCTCAGAGATCTGCCCAAGGATCTTCCTGGAACCAGTATCAGACGAGATGCTGCTCATGTAAATTTCTCAATCCCTTTCCGTTTCATTCTCTGATCCGTTCTTGCTTTTTCCTTTCCAAATTTCTGGTTTCTCTGATGCCTCCCGATGAGCTACGAAATTACGCTTCCTCAACTTCTTCTTCTTCCTTCGATTTTGATTTTCTTTTTCTTCGGATTTCTATGGAAGTTTTACCATCGAGCTCACGAGTCACGAGAGAGATTAGTTTTATTATTTTTTTAATGATTTTCTTTTTTTTTTTAATTAATTTGACGGGCTGGTCCAAGGGATATTACTTTTTTATTTTCTGGCCGTTGACACAGTTCTTAATCATGAGAAAACGCCGTTCAAAATGAATGGAAAAAAGAGTTATTATTATTTATGATTATTTTTATTTTTATTTTTTTTTACAAATGTACCAAATAGTTCTCTAATACTTTTGGTAATTTCTTAAAAAGAAAAGTTAAAATTTAACAGATGACGTCTGATTTAAAAAAATTGATGTCTGCTTTAACTGTATATATATAAAAAAAGATTTTGTTAACAAATGGGTTGAATTTTTATTCGTATGAGTAGCGTGTAGGTGATATGTTAATGTATCCAAATATGTTAATACATCAATTTTTTTTAATCAAAGTTTTTATGGAATGACTTAATTAAAGATTCTAATGATTAATCTTTTTTTCTTTATTAAGGCTAAGATTGAGAATTTTAAAAAATTATTGATAAAATTTAAAATTACATAAGGTATATATATGCGTGTATTTAAACCATTGTTTATTTAGTCAATCGATAAAACAGCTACTAYACTTTACTTGTACSCCTTTAAAATATTAATATTTCTAAATAATTCTGTTATTTATGTTATTTTTAGTTTCTGCATGAATTCGAACCTCTAATATTTTGAATCGATAATATATATCTTAACCAATTGAAATATTATCAAATTTAGACAAATTATTGAATGATACTTTTATAATGTTGAATGAGATCTTTATAATGTGTTTGACTCCTGATCATTGAATGTAGATCTGTAAATTTCTATACCCCTRATAATCATTAGATATAAATTCGATTTATTTTGTAGTTTCTATCTCACACATMCAAAACTATATAAAACTACCGGCGACGTTGGGACGAACTCTTCCAATAATTTTTCAAAAAAACTATTAAATGATATTCGTAGTAAAACTTTCTGTTCTGTTTCTCAAACAAAAAGGAAAAAGAAAATCTCTCATGTAGATTTATTTTAATATTACGTAGATCTATTTAGTAATTTTAATATATTTTTAACAATATTTTGAGATGGTYAGGGGACATTCAACAAGTAAAAAGAAAAGAAAAATCACAATTTCACAAACCACATCCTGTAATGAAAAAATTTAAAATAAAACTAACCCTGAGGGAAAAAAAGAAATTTCACTCCATATTATATATATGTATTTCACAACTTTTCAATTTTCTAATATAGCATAAGCTTTTTTTAGTGTTTACATTGGGTTTGGGTTCGATTTATATTAATGTTATTTTTGTAAATTTTCGAACTTTCTGCTATATTTGAAAATACATATATATTTTTTTTCTGGCTATTTATGTTAATACGAATCTAATGTTCTTCCAAATCTTCATTTTCATTTTCATTTTTTCAGCTCATTGGCAAAACTCCAATAGTATATCTTAACAAAGTCACTGAAGACTGTGGAGCTTATGTTGCTGTGAAGCAAGAGATCATGCAGCCTACTTCCAGCATTAAAGACAGGTTCCCACTCTATTCATGATTGAGCTAAAGATTTTCTAAGGAAGGAGCAAAAATTAGAGAAAAACTACACAATTTTAAATACTATATCTATACTTTTTGAATTACAACAAATTAAGAGGGGAAATTGCCCTGCCTTTCCTTTGTTGCTCCTGACTCTGTATCTTTGATCACTTTCATTTCATCATCAGACCGGCTTTCGCGATGATCACCGATGCCGAAAAGAAAGGTTTGATTACTCCAGGAAAGGTCAGCTCTATCAGCACTTAGATTGCAACATTTTGCTGTATTTTATACTTGGGATACTTTTCAACAAAACTTGTTTTTTCTGAAGTTCACTCTGTTTTACAATGTAGACGACATTGATCGAACCAACGTCGGGAAATATGGGGATCAGTATGGCCTTTATGGCTACCATGAAGGGCTACAAAATGGTTCTAACCATGCCTTCTTATACAAGCTTGGAGAGGAGAGTTACAATGAGAGCATTTGGAGCTGACTTGATCCTCACTGATCCAACTAAAGGGATGGGAGGAACTGTCAAGAAGGCTTATGATCTTTTGGAATCCACACCCAATGGTTTCATGCTCCAACAATTCTCAAACCCTGCCAATACCCAGGTAATAATCTAATCCATTTTTCTTGGGGACTGTTAGATTTTTGGATAAGTGAATTTAGCTGAAGTGGTCTAATGATTTTGTAGGAAGTGGTGTTTGGTTCACAAAATGTTTGATTTCAAAAGTGATCATAGAACTATCAAATTACTAAAACCCACCTCTCAAATAGTAACTATTTTCTAAGAGCCCATTTGGAACGTTCTTGTTTATAGTTTATTGTTTACACTTTTATTATGAAACCTAAGTCTTTTGTAACTAATTATGTTTCTTGTTTCTCATTTTTTAGAAACGTTATCAAAATTGTATAGAAATTTTGGAAACAATAAAAACAAGTTTCTTGTTTCTGGCTTCCGTTTCTAATTTGTTATAAAATATAAATATAAAATAGTTTGATTTGTTTAATATTAAAAATGAGAAAACAGAAACAGAAAACAGAAATGTTACCAAACGGGCCGTGATTCTTGGTCTATCACTCAACCAACAAGTGATTGATTTGGAATAGAATCATTTTGAAGTGATTTTGGACTACATTGTTATCAGACATCATTATTTTTAAAAAAAACATGCCCTTAGTTTCTATGTCTATTTTTCCAAATTATATTCGTCTAGCTCGATCCTAAGACGATTATTACAAAACGGAAAAAAACAGGTACATTTTGAAACGACTGGCCCAGAGATATGGGAGGATACAAATGGACAAGTTGACATCTTTGTGATGGGAATTGGCAGTGGAGGGACTGTCTCTGGGGTGGGACAGTATCTGAAATCTCGAAATCCCAATGTTAAGGTATGTGATTGACTATAAACTTTTGTTACCATAGAACACATATTAGAATTCATTGCCAATGGCTGAGTTTTTTTCTTCTTTACTGAAGATTTATGGAGTTGAGCCAGCTGAAAGCAATGTATTGAATGGTGGTAAACCAGGTATCATTTTATCGCTCCTTCGACGAAAATTCTCATCTTCTCCTCCTGAAAATGTCATTAGTTACGATAACTCTGACTCTAATCGAGGAAAACTGATCGCCTATGAAGTATAGACGATTTAGTTTAGGTAACTTGTCCATGTCTCAAACATTAAATGGAAAAAATTGAATAATAACAGGTAGGCTCGTGTGGAATACCATGGATAGACATAAATAGTAATACTGCTGACAAAAATAATAAATTTTGAGAATGAAATATATGGCATATACTTTAAATTTCTTTCTGATATAGAAAAAAAGTATACTTAACATCACTGTGCCGTGTTGTGTCGTGTCGTGCTGGTTTGGGGATAACTAATGGACTGATCAGTCTACTTTGACAGCTACCTTTGTGGTAAAGATACAACTAATGGGGACTGGTTTTGTCAATTGGATTAGGTCCTCATCATATTACTGGCAATGGGGTTGGATTCAAGCCAGACATATTGGATATGGATGTAATGGATAAAGTTCTTGAAGTAAGTTGCTGCTAAAAAAGCCCATTTGGCTACAATTTTATTCTTTACTTTTTACATTATTGATATTTTTTCTTTTAAGAAAGTTCTTCTCTATGCATCGATGAGCAGGTGTTTTACTGACTTTTTGATGTGATGTATTTTTATTAGTCTATTTCTATTGTGTTTAATAGATCAATTAAGTGATTTGAATAAAAATTTTGAGACAATAAAAATAAAAATAGACCAATAAAAAGACGTCATTGTCAAAAAGTCAGTTTAGTAGAATATTATAATGACCAGAAGTGCTGTTCTATTTTTTCTCCCTAAAAACTAGATTTGAAAACAGCTAGTAATCAAATTTAGTTTCTTAAAGATAAAGTTGCGTTATCGAAGGGCTCTAAGGCTCCGTTAGATAACAATTTCATCTTTAATTTTCTCGCAATTTATTTAACATGCCTATCGCGATTCTAGAAAAATACCTTTCGAAAAAGAAATAAAGTTTTTGAAAACACCTTTTTTTTTTTTAGTTTTAAAAATTGACTTAGATTTTGAAAACATCTTTAAAAAGTAGATAATGAAAAATAGATGGGTGAAAGTAGTATTTAAAAGCTTAAGTAGTATTTAAAAGCTTACTTTTCAAAAGCAGAGAATGAAAAACAAATTGCATTTTTCGTCTTGTGGATTCTATTCGTGTTTACCTGTTATCAATAAACTTGGCAGGTAAGCAGTGAAGATGCTGTAAATATGGCCAGAGAATTGGCAGTGAAGGAGGGACTAATGGTAAAAACAAAAATGAAAAGAAAACTCTCTTTTTCCTTCAAAACCATCTCATAAAACTTGATTGAAACAACATTTTTGCAACTTCCCCCCTTTTGTCTAAGATCATAGTTTCTCTTTTCTTGATCTTAATCATGCAGGTAGGAATATCGTCAGGGGCCAATACTGTCGCGGCGCTAAGGCTTGCCAGATTACCCGAAAACAAAGGCAAACTTATTGTGGTAAGCAAAAGCTTTACTCTCCTACATTCTTAAACAATCTCTAGATCCAAATCCATATTACATAAGATGAAGATCATTACTAGTTGTGAATGTCTTAAGTCATTTTACGAAGATGGTTCATCTTCGATGTCAAGATAAGAAGTCGGTATAAGTTGTTATTTGGCTGCATTTTTTCAGACAATTCATCCAAGTTTTGGGGAGAGATACTTGTCATCTGTTCTGTTCCAAGAACTGAGGAATGAAGCTGAGAACATGCAACCGGTCTCAGTTGACTGAATCCTGCAAAGAATCTGCTTGTGATACTTMTGCAGAAAACGAAACACAGCAAGAACAACTATGGCTGTCGATCGACTCGTTTCGATTACGGGAGAATAAAAATTTATGCAGCCGTTTGATTGGGGAAGGTTTGTAGTTCATTGTATTGCTTGAAAATCCATGTTGTAAGAAAGTTTACAATATCAAGAGAAAAAAAGGAAAAAGAAAAAAAAAATTCTCTTTTTTTACGTAGATGAAATGCAATGTGATGTTTTATGATCTTAATTTTTAAAATTCAACCTCTCAAATGAATGAAATAAAAGTCAAAAGTAAAAAAAAAAATGCAAGAATGGTTCAATTAATTAAAGTATATATTATTGACAAAAAAAAAAGTTGGAGATTCAAATTTTCCGAATAATCGCGGGTGAAGTMAAAAAAGTAAGGTTAACGATGGGATACCCATGTATAAGTTGAAAAGAGAGACTTGCAAAAATATGCACTTAAAGAATTGAAAAATTATGAATATCTAAAATAATAAATAAAATAATTGTAAAAAATAACTACTGATGGTAAAATTAGATCATAGAAGTTCCTAACATATACCTATCCGAAACAAACTAAGAGTATGTTTGAGGATGATTTTGAGTTGACAATCAAGGATTCGTAAGAAAATTTAAGACCTGTTTGATAACGTTTTCGTTTCTTGTTTCTTGTTTCAAATTTTSTTAAGAAATCTAAGTATTTTTCAATTGACTTTGTTTCTTGTTTTTCATTTTTGAAAACATTCTTACAATTGTATAGRAATTTTGAAAACAACCAAAATAAATTTCTTCTTTCTTGTTCCCATTTCCAATTTATTCCAAAACATAAATAAATATATTTTTTATCATATTTGAATTCTTGAATGTTACCCATGTAATACATTTTTCTTCATTAAAAAAAAAAGAAACAAAAACGTTACCAAACGGACTCTTAACTACTACACACAGTTTCTTAAAAGATTGTTGTATCTTCGGGGTGAAGTGCCAAATAAATCAGTGCATTGAGAGCACATTTTCTCTATGAATAGTATTTAGGAATGTTTCTCGATCCAAAATTTATAAGCTATTGTTATCTCTCTACTRTAYTACCATTGTTTTATTAAATTAACTATGTGTATTGATTATTTCAAAAATTCTTATTCCCTAAATATATTTCAACAATGATAGATACTAGTGCCGTTTTCATTTTAAATTAGACATTTGACAAGGATCTCTTTTTTTTTCTTTTAATATTACTATTTTTTAAATTTATTTTACAAATATTATCAAACTCAAACTTATTTAAAAATAATGCTTTATAAATTCCTCTCCCACTAGGTGAGGGGAGAGAAAGTGGRGAAGGGAAATTATATGTTAATTTAATAGTTCTTCCCATGTCAACAATTAAAATAAAAAAGAAAAAAACTAAAAAAATATGTCTCATATTCACCTAAATTGTCACCCCATTTTTCTATTAAAAAAACTAAGTTGTTTCAAAAAAAAAAAACTAACAATTTTACTTCAAAAACAATTTAGAATTGTTTTCAAAATTTTAGGGACTAAACTGTCATATTTGAAATCTAACCTAAATCTAAAAATATATTTTACTAAATATTTTTTATTCGATGTAATTTTATTTTACTTTATTTATTATTCGATAAATTGATAATAAAAAATATTTAAATAAAAATAGTAATAAAATAAAATCATATTTATTATTATTTTAATTAAAAATAATAATAATATATTTTTAGTTAATATATTTGTGATTAGCTAGGAATAAGAAAGATGTATTCTATTCGATTCATATTTCAATTCTAGACAGTTTTAGTAAACAACATTAATAAGTTTGTTTCTTATTTCGATTCAACAAAATTTTTAGTAATTAAACAACATCGAAAAAAAATAATATTCTTATTTTGATTATTTTGCTCTGACTGATTTTTATTTTCATTCCTTATCGTTATAATTATTCCTCGTAAGTAAATAGAGCCCAAGTTGTAAAAACAATAATATAAAATTAGTTGTAATTATTTCCTCCTTTACCCTGAGTTTCATATTATTAGAAYAAAGGTAGAAAAAATTTGGTAATTAATTTCTGGTAGTAAAAATAATAATTAAGTTTTAGACTTTAGCCAAAACCGTCAAAAGGAGGGGAAAATCTTATAAAGTGAATTTAAATGAAATAAAGTATAGTAAATTAAGAAGGTATTACAATGTCTCACATTAAAAAAATAAAAACATGAAAAATGAAAATTTGAGTGGACGATAATTCATATTGCCATTTTTTAACCATCATATTACCATATTTGCAAACATAACTGACAGACTTCTAAKGTGAAAGTTTTGAATATAAGAATCTTTTATCAATTTATTTTTAAAAAATAATTATAAATTTATAAGTATAAAAAATAGATTAAAACATCTACTATCTTTTTGTAAAATATATTTGTACAATTTTATTTCTTTATAAAATTTTAAATTTTAAAAATATGTCCCTCATAATTAATTATCAACAACTATTAAGTTAATTTAAATCTTAAAAGGTAATATGAAAGTTTGTTTTAACTCAAACTAATTGAATAATTATAACTTTAATTATATTTAATTTTTAAATATTAAAAGTTTTGAAATTTTAAGAGTTGCAACTCTTTTATTTTCCACCACTGTAAAATAATTTTTTTTTTTTACTCATTTTGTACCATGATTTTATATGTGTTTTTCTCTACTCGCTTTCTCTCGAGATGTTTTTTTGTGCTAAATCTCTCTTTTTACACTCTCAAAATAATCTCTTTTATAATGTAAATGTGCTACTCCTCCTCATTGTCAACTGGTTTTGAGATGGAACCATGGRTATTGATATGGTACCAGAGTCCAAAACGTTCAAACGAGCCAACTGTCCAAAAATGGAATTCTTGATCAAGATTGGAATCTCATGAATATTAATATCGTCATTAAATTTGATTAGTTTGCCTTGGGGCAATTTATACCCAAGGATAAAAAAAAAAAAAATTCATGGTACAATATCTACCACTACCTTAGAACACGTAGATTCAGACACTCACAAATATAAAAAAAAAAAAATAATAATAAGACATGTGGCTCATTCTTTAAAATTCAAGATAGAAGCAACGAACATGATCTCAATGGGTAATTTGCACCGGTCTCAATTCTCCGGCTTGTTTGTTATATTAAAAAATCAATGTACATTAGGCCGAGTCATCTTCTTACCAATATCCCACTAATAAAGCCTAAGTATACCAACATTTTATCAATAATATATAATTTTTTATGATACATAATTTGGATAATTCTTGGATCAGAAATCCAACTTTGTGTGTGAATCCAAAATTTTCCAATATTTCACATATATACACACCCCTACACATGGTAAGAAGAATGTGCCTCTTAATACTAAATCCAAGTATACTTTTTCCCCAAAATGGGGCTATTTTCTTAAGAAAATAAACAAAACAACAATGGTAATTAGGAAAAGAAAAATAAAGAACTCATTATTTCCATTCAGAAATCAACAAAACAACACATCAAAATGAAAATTGACCCAAATCCTTAAAAAACACAAAAACAGACAGACACATATATGTAATTAAATTTGGTAAAAAAAAGGACAAATTAAAGTTTGACAATGAATAATGTTTGAAAGAGACAATCAAAGATCATAAGGTCCTGTTGGATGAAGTTGTTTGCACAAACACATGTAGGCAATGTACACAAGCCTGTCTTTTGCGCCTGTCCTGTGGTTCCTCGTGTGCTTACACAAGTATTTCAGATGTTCTAAGCTAGAGAATCCAATCATTTGCCCTAGCAACAAGAACAGCCAATTCATCTCCCTCTTCTTCCCCGTCACCGGCTCCGTGCAGCCCTCTCCGCTGCAACAGCCGCAGTCCTGCCGCGGAGGGCACTCCCAACCCCTCGGGGCTCGCTGGTGCATCTCCGACTTGTTCATCGATATGAAACTCTCTACTTCCATGAACTTCTCTGTCAGATTGAATTCCATCTTGCTATCTACTCCGCACTTCTTGCACTTCATTTCCCCTCTGATTTTCTCTATCCCGTTTCGGGTGAGATCGTCCAGGCTGCGTATGATTGCTCGGTGCTCCGTCGCCCATGGATACGGTGGCGGGATTGTCTCGCTCTTTCCCAGCCCGAGTAATGGCCTGCCCCGCCACATGGGAGTGGTAGGGTTTGGAATTGGCGATGGGAACCGCGGTGGTGGAGGTGGCGGCGGGGGCGGGGGCGGAGGATAGTGCTCAGCTTGCGAGAGTGAGAGTGACACTGTCTCACCTTTCTCCCATTGGAGTAATTGCCAGCCCTGCTGCATGGGCGCAGCAGGGCTTAGGGACGATGGATATGGTGGGAGCGGATGAGAGTGTCCAAAGAACAATTGTCTGTCCCACATCATGGGAGCAATAGGGATTGGAGTCGAGTACGAAGACGGGGATGAGAAATGCATTAGATTGTAATCGGCTAACGAGAGTAATTGCGTGTGCAGCAGGGCAGGATTTGGAGTCAACGACTGTGGCAGCGGCTGCGGGAGCGGTGGTGGATTGTATCCGGAGAGTGAGAGTGATAGTGAGAGATCAAGAGGAGGATTATCGTTGCCGCCACCACCGTCGTCTTCCTCTTGGCCATTTCTAAGGGGAAGATTTTGATCAAAACCTTGACGATGCATGGAGTGCATGGTGAAGCTTTAGCACTGAATTTTAGAAGAAGAAACAATAGAACAATTAAGAACAAACCAAATCAAATGAAAAGTCTTTTTAATGCTACAAGAGAAAGCTTTTTGTTGGAGTGAATTTCGGCTGTGATAAAATTAAACAAAGAAGATTGAGATTTGGATCTTTGATGGAATAATACATTTGAATTTCTTCAAATCAATATTTAGATTTGATTCACTTGGATTAATTCTTAATATTTCAATTTAGAAATGTTAATTGGTTGTTATTTTGACAAGGATATAACTAATCAGAAGGAATGAAAGTCGGATATGGTCAAGAAAAGTTCAAAATTTAAAGTTTTAATACTTTTTATTAAAAAGTTGGATAATTTATCTAAGGTATATATATTCTCATTTCTTCTGTCTTATATTTTTCTACTTTTGATTCCAAGTGTCGTGTTTGGTAAATATTTCTTAGGATTCATTATCTTAAAACAAATTAGAAATCTTAGTTGAAAATAAATTTTTAGAGGTAAAACATTTCAAATTACTATATTGTGTTCTATAAGTAAAAAATAATAAAAATATATATTTTTATTTTTGTTGTTTTAGTTAAAAAAAAATAAAAATTGTATGCAGATTTTGGAAAAGTGAGAAATGAAAAACAAAAACAAAACAATTTATTGTCTGCTGTTGACATGGGAAGATGAAGATTGAAATTTATGTGCTGTTGGTTGGCGTAACAAAAATAAAATAAAATAATAATAATAAAAAAAATAAAATAATTAAAAGATTTGAATTGGAAAAAAATTGAACATTTAAAAAATAAAAGTTTGATGATTCCATGGATTTCATAACATTTGAATCAAGAAAAGTTAGATTTGATTTGATTTTTCATATAAATAATAAAGGAGAAAACTTCACTCGGAGCATTGTACTCCTTACCATCACGTGGTCCTATAGTCAAATATTAAAATGACAAGAATTGACTAGTAATTTATTTTAGTTATTTTATTAAAACTCAAAATAAAGAAATGGACAACACTTGTCATTTTACTATAGGGCTATGTGATGGTAAGGAATAGTACTAATTAATGTTAAGGAGCGAAGTTTTTTCCAATAATAAATGTGTCATTGCGTGACTCAAAAATGTATTTTTGAAATTTAAAGAATTTAGAAGAAAAAAAATGAAAAAAAAAAGTAATTATTTGCTTGGGAATATGTTTTGCAGTCAGATTGAAAAATTTTCAATAAATTAAGAATTTGAAAATATGTCATGGTTTGTATTGAATTTAAACAGTTAAAATATTATTTTGGTCCCTATTTATTTTGTTCATGTACTTTAGACTTTAGTTTATTTTAGTTTTTGTACTTTTAAAATATTCACATTAGTCTTTATACTCTAAAAAAATGACCACAATTTTTTTATTATAATTTCAACATGACACTATACTCAATTGAAATGTAACCATGATTTTATATTAAGGAGGTTTCATTATATATAGAATTTATGTTGAAATTTTTAAAATAAAAACTAAAATGGTCAAGTTTGAAAAGCACATGGATCAAAATGAACCTTTTTTTAAATACAAAGATTAAAATGAACTAAATTAAAAATACAAGGACCAAAATAAATATTTTAAAAATAAAATAATTAAAATGAACAAAAACTCAGGGATCAAAATAGTATTTTACCCTATTTAAAAATACTTTAAATAAACTTATAATTTGGATATTTGTAGTTTGTAATCCATTATTAATAATCTTTTTTTCATATAGGTTTCGTGTTTTCAACCCTATATTAATTTAAGGTTAAATTATAAATCTTGTCCCTATAATTTGGATTAGTTTCAATTTGGTACGTTTTTTAATTTTAATTTAATTCTTAGGTTTAGACTTAGTTTTAAATTTTTTTCGTTTGACGTGTTTTTATATATTGGTCTCTATAATTTTGTTAAACTTCACAAATCATCAATATTACTACTTTAACAATATTTATGTGGTTATGAACTTATGTTTTTCTTTTGGATTCGACATATGGGGTGGGGATTTAAACATTGGACTTTTTGTTCTGACATGTGCCTTAACTAAATTCAGCTCTACTCTAAGTTGGCTATGTTTTTTCTATTTGACTAATTGTATTAGATCAGTCGAACATATCAAAATTTAGGACTAAGTAAAATAAATATGATATACTTGTGAGCTTTAACCAAAGCGCGTGTTTATATATATAAATCCAAATCATAAAGACTAAATTAAAATGATGAAAATTATAGGATCGAATTAAATTGAAAATTCTAAAATCATAGTGGACAAAATTTATAATTTAACCTCAATTTTTGTACTACAACCATTTATAATTTATCCTCAATTTCATTAGTCTTCAAAATCTTTGAATATAATTTTAAAATTACTTTTGAGTTAACTTACAGTGACTTGCTCTATGGCTCTGGCTAGTGATTAAATTTTATGAAATTATATTTAAATATTGATTTTTTTTTTCCTTTTTGAAGAAATGTGGCTAAGGATATCAAAAGTGTGTTAAAAAAGAGAAACTAAATGAAGAAAATATAAGTATAAACAGTTTAATTTATAATTTAATTGTATCAAAAAAATGAAATACCAAATCTTTAAGGTCTAATGAGCTCTCATATAAATTAGCCGCGAAGTATAATGGAATGATAAAAAAATATCGAAGAATTTCCTCAATCCAAACTCAGTGGATAAGATATTAATTTTTTTTAGATCGAAGGTTTTCCGCTGTTTGTTGTACTATGAAAAATATCTCGACTTAACCAAAAAAAAAAAATTGAAAAATTCAAAACTTGTAAAGCTATGATAAATTTATTTGTTGGTCCTTTCTTTCCTCTCGGCTATTTAAAAATAAAGATCTCCATGTATGCTCGACTTCGGTTTCCTGAAAAGGAAATAAGAAATAAAAAAACCAAAACTGTCTTATTGGAGTTGATTGAAGTCCAATGTATGATGAAGTGGTTTGATGACTAAAAATTGGAGTTTAAATTTTAAATGTTCTCAATTGAAAAGTAACATCTTTTTCTTATATCATAGTTTTGAAAATATTATTAAGTCAGGTTCAAAACTTGTAAAGCCATGGTAAATTTATAATTTTTTTAGCTTATTCTTTAAATTTTATTTATTTATTTTCTTCCCATCAAGTATAAAGGGAAATGAATAAAAAAAATATTTTTGATTTTTTAGTAAATTATTTTTAAAACAATTAATTGCATAAAACATCTATTAATTCTTTAAAAAAATGATTTATTATTTTAAGGTTCATTTTCTTAAAATTTAGTTTTACTTCCACTCCAATAAATTTAATTGGTTAATTATAAGTTTTATTTGTATATGTTATGGGTAGCTTCCGAATAGGACATGTTCGACCCTTTGTGCACGCGGACCCACTAGGAACCGATTCTCAGTGGGGATGTCGCCAGACAGAAGGCATGTCTGCTCACGACAGGACGAACGCGCCAAACAGTTACGCCTCGTACGTATCCACAGCTGGTGGCGCGTGTTGTCGGTACGATGGACGCATCCAACAGCCCTGGACAACATGCTAAGGGGACGCAGACAGCGGGGCTACTCTGCACTGTTGGGGACGTGCACCTCTCTGCCCTATGGTACCGCGCGCGACGTCCCTGCCACTTTCAACCGTCGTCCTTCTTGGTCGGCCCTTCACAACTATAAAAAAATGGTGATCCTCCATACCAAGTAAGTGAAAGACCTGACACTCAACTATTTGGTGTCTTATTCCTATCTTTACTCTGATTACTAACTTGAGCGTCGGAGTATATTAGACGGGGCACCGTACCGGCGTCGAGTTCTTTGGTTTCAGGTCTGGTGGATTCATCTCTGAACTGCTCGTCCGTAGACCACGTGGCCCTTAACCAAAATTCGCCTCAATAGTATCTAACTAGGTACTCTAGTTTTCAATTTTATATCTAATAGATCCCTAACTTATTAGAATTCTTTTAAAGTTCAATAATCTATTTGACACAAATTTGAAAATTTAGAGACTTACTAGACAAAAAAACAAAAATAAAAATAAAAAAATTGAAAATTTAAGAATCTATTAAAAAAATTTTAAAGTTAGACCTATTAGACACAACCTTAAAAGTTTAAGGAGACAAGTTATAATTTAAGCAATTTAACATTAAAATATATGAACTAAATACATATCTATATATTCAAAATTAACGTTTTATACAACCCTTGACATAAAAGTTATGATTCTGCCACTGTTTGTGTGTCCTAGCCAGCTTGAGTGCACCTCGACTATTCTCACGTGATAACCTGACAACCGTCTGACCGTAAAAGTTGCCAAGAAATAACTCATAAGATAGGATATTAAATCCTAGGTAGGTATGTCCACTATGATTTTAATTAGGGTATCCGTGGGTTAGGGTCGAAATATTTTTTAGACCTATCTAATTGTTCAGGTAGTAAATTTATTCAACCCAAACAACACTCATTAAATTATAATGAACTCAATCCAACCCAACCATCAAATATTTGGGTTGGGTTGGGTTCACTTTACTTGAGTCACTCATTCAAATAATTGCATAAAAAAAATAAGTAAATGTTAATATCTTACAATTTTATTTAATATTTTCTAACATTGAATCAACATCATTGATACGTAAGTCAATCTTTATTTATATTGTGAAAAATTACACTCCAAAAACCTAAAAATTTATTTTAAGAAGTTGTTGGAAAATAAATAATACATCAAGAATGATTGAATGAAATAAAGTTAAAATAAATATATCCAAATGTAATTTTATGGTAAATAAAAGAAATAGTTTTTAAATTAATAATAAGTTGAGTTGGTTTCATTTATCCTAAATTTATTTAAGTGATTTTTTTTTCGGGAATGGTAACGCGTTGAGTTAAGAAATTTGTGCTTGAGCGGAGACATCAAGATTAAGACCCAAAAGCCAATTTTCAGTGAACCAATTCAGAGAATTTTCATATATTTGAACTCAACTCAACTTAAACAATTTTATAATCTAATCCAAATCGTATGAGTTGAATCGAGTTGATAGAATTTTTCGGGGCATCGAATTTTCTAAATACCATTATTTTGAACTATCTTTTTTATCGACTACTAAGTCAACCCAAGTAGGTTGTAAGCATATTTTTTAGTTTTAAAATTGATTGTTGGTTTACCGTGCTAACTTCATTATTTAAGACCTAACTTTTATTTTAATTAATTTCACAATCAAATATATTCTTAGTTTCTTTAGTGATAATTCAATTGAAAAAATCTAACTGATTTATTTTTATTTTTATTTTTGCCATCCAGAATATAAATGTCTCTTGTCCTACATATAATTATAAAAAAAATCCGCAAGTGATTTTAAGTTTAAATCTAATTTTTAATCCGTACTCTTTCATACGTGTTTTATTTTAGTCTTTAAATTTTAAAATATTCTATTTTAATTCAAGGTTCGAAATGTCGATATCGATAGAAATGTTGAGATCCCGATTTTACGGATATGTCGATGTCAATGGATATTTTAAGAAAAATCAGGAAAATTGTAGATATTGATGCAAATTTTTTGAATTAGTAAATAAAACTTTAATTGTAGCTTAATTAGCCTTAATTGATCAATTTTAACCATCATATCTAAATATATAAGTAATATACATTGGAAGTGTCGATGAAAATGTCGAAACAAAATCATGTATACATATGTGGAAATTATTTGAATTAGTAAATTTAAAGTTTAATGTTGCTTCTTATGTTTTATTGATAATTTCTAATTCAACCGTAGTCTTTAGTTACATAATTGAACAAAATATGTGAAATATAGATATATATAATTCTAGAAAAAATGACATTTTTTGAGGTGTTCCATGAGAAGTTCCTAGTTTTGACAACCTTCTCATTTGCCAATTTCGAAAGCTTCTTCATGTATCTCTCAATTTCCACTCCCTTTTCCTTTTCTATCAATTCTTCGATCATCATCTCCACCATCGACCTGTCCCATTTATCATTCCTTTCGATCTCACTTTTCCATACTTTTTTGTTCCAAGTAGCATTTGATGATTTGGTCGCCGTAAATCTGCTAGCACATCATTGGCACTCTTCCTGCAATGCTCTCCATTGAGAGTTTAAAATATCGATTAAAAATAATTTAAAATTAATTAATTTGTCGGTTGAACCACCTTTTGAAAAAAAAATTGTGGCGTGGTAATTTAAAATAATCTTTATGGAAAAAAATATTTAAATAAAAAGAAAAAACTTTACATCACCGTCACTTGCTTGGCTGAGTTTAAATCTTTCGATGAATAGGAACGATACTAGTGTTCAAAATGTCAATGTCGATGAAAATATCGAGGTCCCGATTTTACGGACATGTCGATGGATATTTTGGGAAAAATAATGGAAATTTTTTGAATTAGCAAATAAAACTTGGATCGTAACTTAATTAGTCTATAATTGATCACTTTTAACCATTAAATGTAAGAATATGACCATTTTACTTATGAAAATGTCGATGTCGATGGAAATATCGAAAAAAGATTTTTTCCCTTAAATGAAGATTGATGAAAATTATTTGAATATGTAAATTTAACTTTAATTGTAAACTTTTGACTACTTCTTTAGTGTTTTTCATAATAGGATTCATTTGGAAATGAGATAATTACCGACTTGGTTTCCAAACACATTTCTAAATTCTAATTAACTCGTACCTATTTACTTTTTACCTACTTCTCTTTTCAAATTTGAATTTATACATTTTTTAAACACATTTTCAAATCAATCATCAATCCAACTTTTCAATCAAATTTACATAATTTTCAAACACGTCAACCTCGTGATTGTGTCATTCATCCAAATTATTTACCAATGAGATCATATGTGCTTCATATTCTACTTATTTGAACAACTACCTTCAAAACTTTCAGTCTATGATGATCAAGGAAAACTATTGTAATTTATATCAAAGTTATCAAGATAGTGCACTAGATTCTCCGAGATATCTTTTTGGTATTAATTTAAGTTACCTATTCTACTTCATGTTTCACCACTATTTGTATATAATAATATTTTATTTTTAAAAAATTCTAAGATTATTTCAATCTTTATATATGTCAATATTTCACATATATTGTTCAATTGTGTAAGTAAGGACTAGATTGGATTAAAAATTATCAATAAAGCAAATTTCAAATCTTATTAATTATACTTTATACAGTATTAAAATTCGAATGTTTCGTTGAACAGACTAAGATTACAATCATCAAGGTTGTGAGAAATTATAGACTGTAGTGACATAGTAAGAAGAGGATGAAAATAAAATAAGCTTAAAGAAGAAGAGGAAAAAAAGAGACATGTCGACATTTCGACATGTCCACGATATGGGGGGAAAATCGACTTTTCCCCCCTATATCGATGTCGATATGCTCGAGACGTCGACATATCTCTCGACATTTTGAACCCTGAACGACACACGCAATATTTTGATCCATTTTTTTTATTAAATAGATAAATAATAAAATATTTTAAAAATATAACACCTGCGCAATAATTTATAAAAAGTTAACAACTACATTAGTTTTTTATGCAAAATTTAAAGAATAAAATACATTGTTTGAAAATTTAAAAACTAAAGATTCAAATACTTTGATCTCTGCGATCTCTATTTTTGCTCGTTTTAATCCTGTACTTTCATTTTTGTTCATTTTAATTTATGTACTTCCAAAACTTTCATTCTTTTAAAAAGTGATCATTTTGATCTATATCTACAAAATTTTAGTACAAATTTTATAGACAACGACAACTCTTTAATACAAAATTTTGATCAAAATAAATGAGATAAAAATGAAAATAAAGAGACCCAAATAGTCACTTTTTAAAAATATAAAGACCAAAACAAATGTTTAAGAAATAAATAGACTAAAATAAACCAAAGTTGAAAGTATAGAAGCCAAAAGAACGTTGCGAAAGTATATGGACCAAAATGAATCAAAACCAAAAATACAAAAATCAAAATAATATTTAAACTAAAACTAAAATAGAATAAACGTCAAGATTTAAAAACCAAAATAGAATTTAAACCTTTGATTTAAAGGTTATGCTTGTACGTATTTGATATGCTAACATCAGCAAAAACATTAGGGAAAAAATATACAATGGTGAAACTTTTGGAATGAGAAAAATGTCATCCTCCTTTCCATAAGAATCATAGGTATTCCTATTTCCCTTGTTTGAGAGGACCTTTTCACCAGGATCCTCCAATTCTAGGAGACAAAATCTAGCCAAAACAATTCATCAACCTTTCGATTAGATCGAAACCGAAAGATATAACCCAAAACCAAAATTGCTCGAGCCTCTGAATTCAGCTCGTGTTCGTAACAATGAGTCGGTAAATCACAATGCCTTCATCCCCCCTTTAGCTTCCATTTTTCACAGGCTATTACTGTAACTTTCCATGTAACATCACAAAAGAATTTTTTCCTTTCCCCCTTCTTCCCCTTTCCTTACACAAATCATAAATCAAAAATGCCTATTTCCAAATCTGAATCAACATTATCAACATTGGTACTCGTCAAAATCTGTTTTCGAGCGATACCTCGAGCTTACCGTGGCTTCTTGGGAGAGTAGAAGATGGAGCCCGGCGAGTTATGCACTTCATGTCCAAATCCGTTGGTTGCAAGTCCAGATTCTGATTCATCGTCACTGTCGATTTCGTCTGGCGTAACCCGATTTTGGTGTCCTCTGCGACGCAAAAGGAAGACATTGTAGTAGTAGCTGACAAGATCTGCCCTGCTCCGGGAAGGAAACGACTCAATGATCTGATCCCAGAAACACTTCCCTAGAGATGGAGGGTTCGACATTACTATGTCCTCGAACTTTTTCTCATCACTCACTGTCCAAGCAGATGTAACATCTTCCCCCATATTGTCGAATCTCCATTGGAGGAATGCAGTGCCCAATTCCAGCTTCAGTCTGTGCCTTTTCTCAGCAACGTGAAATTTGACACAACCAACCGAACCCGAGTCTGAGCACCCACAAGGATCTCGTCTTCCCCTTCCGATGGGATCCCTTTCAACTATATATCTGTTCCTTTCTTTCTTCAAGGGCCAATCTCGGGTTCCCAACCACTTCAAATCGCTTTCGGATATCACACCATTCCATTCTGGTACTTGAGCTTGATACTCTGGCCCCAAAAGAATGTGCTTGTAATCATCTGATGAATCTGTAGGTGAGGAATCACTAGATTTAGAGACAGGCTCTTGAGGAACAACTTTCTTTTCAAATGATAATCTCTTTCTGAGGTTGTAAATCGGAACCGCATCGTCGTCGTACATGCAAGGATGCATCCTCTGATTTTTCTACAAAAATGGGAAGACCAGGTGAACATGATAATAAATTAATAATGTAGAGATAGTAACTAAAACTTTCGAGCTTAAGTAAGAAATTTTGCTGTGGTTAACCAGGAAGGAGAATAAGTAATGGAAGAATAATAACCTAGTCATTATGTTGTTTAGAGTAAGATTGAATCCTATTTTTAACATTTATAATTTTACCAAAAACTAATTTTTCTTATATAGAAATATTAATCTTTTGTACCGCGTTCCTAYGAATTTAATTTGTTTTAATACACTACAATAAAGTAACTTAGAAAAAGAAAATACACAATACAATAAAGATTAAAGATTAAATTAAAGATTAACTACCACTTTGGTTCTTCTACTTTTGATTTTGATTCATTTTGGTCGCTATACATCCAACTTTTTTTATTCCAGTCCTTATAATTTGAAAATGTTTATTTGGTCTCTGTACTTTTAAAAAGTGACCAATTTGGTCCTATTTGCAAAATGTTAACACAAATTTTGAAAGAAAAATTCTTTACAAATTTATGGCTAAATTTCAAGAGATTGAATGAGTAAAGTGCAATGCTAAAATTATGATCGAAAGAAATGAGATAAAAATAGAAATTAACCAAAATGGTCACTTTTTGAAAGTCTAGGGACCCAGATGGACATGTAGAGAGTATAGAGACTAAAGTGAATAAAAGTTGAAAGTACAACGACCAAAAAAGATGTTTTCAAAGTACATAAATCAAAATAGTATTTAAACCAAAATATAAACATACTATTACTAATGCAATAAGAAATTATTTCAAATTAACATCATTAAAAAGAGCAAGTATTAATTTCACTGTTTATTCCTTCGATGAAATTAAAATTTGAAAATTTAAAGTTAAAATTAATTCAATGAGTTAAATATAGGCGGAAAATGACTTTTTCCCTAAATGCTATTATAGTTTGATACTTATTGTAGATAATGAATTTCCCTCGGAAATAACTTCACACTTTTTTATGGTTGATAAAATCAAAACTGTCTGAAAATACATTTTTCTTACATTTTCTAATGTAAAATAATTCAAAGATCATATCATACTTTTAAAATAAAAATAATGCATATAGTTAAAGCCGTCAAATAAAATCTCTAAGTATTTTGCTTAGTGTTTCTAATAATAGTATGTACCAAGTACTTCATCCTAAAGTACTAAAAGAACATTAATCTATCTACAATCAAACCAATTTGCACCTCAAAAATGTTCATTTTAAAACAGGCTCTAACTACAAACAGATAAAGAATTGAAAAGTAGCTGAAGCTTCAAGTTATTGGTCCGGACGAGCAGGACATAGTTAAACCAACATTTTAGGCCCCATCTAAAAACAATTTCAATTTTTGTTGTTTGTGTTTAAAAATTATGCTTGATCGAACACAATTTCTTTGTTGTGTTTTTTCACCTTCCTTATAACACATTTGAAATCTAAATCTTAATCTTATACCAAGGCTTGGACCTAGGAGACATAAAAGATTTTTGGTATTAAGTTCACTAGAAGGTTCAAACTCGAGACCTCTAAGCCAATATGACCTAGAGACCCCAAAGTTTAAAAAACGAAAACAATTTATTTTATAAGAAATAGGAAATTATATTAAAAAAAAAAAGAGAGAGAGAGAGAAGAGAAAGATAAAACGTTCTTGATGGAAAAAAATGTGAATGAAAGATCCCACTGAATTGAATTGGGTCCGTGAATCTAAGAAATAGTAAAAATTCTTGATCTCTCATTCTCTCTCAATTTGAAAATCCAAGATTTGAATTAACCTACGGGCCAGGGCAGGGGAACCCTCGCACAGAAATCTACAAAAGAAATGTCTTCCAAGTCTTCCAATTTTTAAAAATCAACCAAAGACTATAATCAGAAAATTTTCTGTAGTTAGAACTACACCACGAAGCACTACAATGAACACCCCAAAAACTTATCTTTTTGAAAATTGGAAACGTAGTCTTTAAGGGTTCGTTGGATAACATTCTCGTTTATTGTTTCTTTGTTTCTAGTTTCTAGTTTTTGAGAAACATAAAGCATTTGGTAACTATTCCTTTTTTTCGTTTCTCATTCATAAGAACGTTTCAAAAATTATGTAGAAATTTTAGAAATAACAAAATCAAATTTCTTGTTTTTTGTTTCAATTCCCAATTTTTTCTAAATCATAGATAATAATATTATTTTATCATTTTTAATTATAAAATGTATAATAAATATAAACAATTAAATACAATATAACAGTTTTGAATATTGAATTTGAAAAAAATTATTTTCATATAAACTTTAACATTTTTTAATTTAAAATTTTTTAGAACAAGAAACAAGAAATGATTAACTAAATATGTTTCTGTTTCTTTTTCTTCTTTTAAAAAGAAGAAAATATGAAAGAAAACAAGAAACAGTTATCAAACAATATTCTATTGTTCTTGGTTGAAAAAAGGAAACAAGTCCTATCAAAAAAAAGAAAAAAAAAGACAAAAAAAAGAAAAAAAAAGACAGAAAAATGAGAAACAACAAAAGAACGTTACCAAACTGACCCTTAAAAAATTCTTTCTATTTTTGTGGAGAGAAATTGCCAAAATTTAAACAAGTTTTTAAAAACTCCTTTTTCTTTGACTTAATTTTCAAAGACAAAAAAAAAGAAAAAGAAAAAAAAAAGTAATGCGTTAGATAGTTTTATTTTATTCTTCGTATAGGAACCACACCCCAATCTTAAACAGCTAAGATTCACATTATCTTCTCAAGAAGATAGACAACATTTAGAATTGATAAGAAAGATCCTCTAGTTTTATTTATACATATACGGCCATTAAACCATTAAAAATTCAAAACAACATAGAGGGCACTGCAGAATTTCCTAAAAAGTAGAGAGGCTCATAACAATCACAACTAAACAAGATAAATAATAAAAATCAGACCAAAACAAATGATTCCCGTAATCTAAAGATATATTCTAAAATTGAATGTCCTTAGCTTCATATTGGCTTCCACATTAAAGATCTTTGCAGTTCACAATGAACATCAATTAATATGTAAAGAGATACTAATCAAAATGCGTAGTATGAAAATCATCTCAAGATGAAGAGTACAATCACAGAGAAGGCAAGTCTAAAGTAGCCTGAAAAACAAACTTATATGTCATGAGATATCGATATAGATAATTTTCGATTACCCTGTCATGTGAATCTACAACTTTATACAGATAAAGATATAATATAAACGACTTAAGCATTTATGTAAAATACCTGTGAGGAAGATTGTTCGCTACTTGAGTCGACTTGTCTTTTCAGAAACATTGCCTCTCGAACCAGCAAAACTTGTTTCCAAATCTCTTCAGTTCCATATGATTTCCATTTTGACTTTTCTGGTAATGAACATATTGAAGAATCGCAAGGGTTTCTTGCAATACCTTTAAGCCAATTAAGCAATCCCAACATTGGTTCTTGCTTTCTCTCAGGAACAAAATACGCTTCCTTAACGAAGGGTGGATCAACAATTTTTATATCCTCATTTTCATGGTTGCAATGATCATTATCCTTGAGTTTCTTGCCTCGGCGAGGCAATGCATCTGCACTCTTCATCCTATCGCTCTTCATATCACGTATTCTCTTGGAAAAATCTGAAATGGAGTTTTCGTCAAAGCCAACACAGTTCATTAACTCATCTGACAACATGACTGTGATTGCCTTTCCGTAACAAGCCAATTTTCAACCATTACGAGATGTTACCACTCCTTTTGATGAATTAGAACACAGAAATTCCCAATTTCTAGCTCCATTCCCATCGACACAAGTTCAAGCACTGCACCGGCACGTCAAGCTTAGATGTTAAAGCAGCTTAACTTATTTCTTCTGATCAAGTATCTCTAACTGAGTTTTCTGAACTCGACAGACTTCTTTCAATTCTTGTAACAAAATTCAAACTGCACTGTCTCTGTCTCTTTTCCCCTGCAACTTCCTCCAGCTCTCTGAATCCAAATACTCAATTTGACACAACTTCAAAACGGAAGCACATTCGAATTCAATCAAGATTATTACACGATCAATTTGAAACTGCCTCGCCCTTTATCTTTCACAATCACAATGTCCTTAGCCAAATTGACGAAAAAGGAAGGAACGAGCCGTGAAGATGCCACATAGAAGAGAACCACCTAAACAAGCCTTTCGAAAGGTATAACAACAGACCTTCAACACTAAAACCTCAATCTTCTCAGTAATATAACTCAGACCGATCAGCTATCACCCAACATCCTGCCATAAATCGAAATTCAAACCCTAAAATCAAATGCTCCACACCCTGGTTCCATTTTCGCCAGACAAAATTACACCAAACCATAAACCAACAAGAAAAAAGAAAACCCCAGGTCCCAAAATTTCGAGAACAAGAAAAGACACGGCAATAAATCCGGTAGCGAATCGTGAAAAAGAGCGAGCACTCGGACTACCACTGGTTGACTATGTGCGATTAGTTTCGGTGACCCAGTTTTGGCGGGAAAACAAGATTGATCTAGGGTTTTTGAAATCTATGAAAAAGTAAAAATTATCCACAATCCATCCATCCATCCCGCCATTGGCGTCATACTTGCAGATATATGCAAAGGTTCATTATACTAGAAAGAGACAAAAAGCGAAGCTCAAATGGCGGAATGCCCGTTTGCCCATGAGGGGCTACAATTCAAAGTTTTTGAACAAATACAGAGCCTGTACACAAAAATTTGAAAATACCCTCCATTTCTTTTATCTTGATTGGAAGAAAAATAGGGGAAATAGAGAGAGAAGCGTACCTGTTAATAATTTTTGTTTTGGAGGGGAGCGTTTTCTACGCGACTGTGTCTACTACTACAGCCTTTAAAGCTTGACTAGTTTGGCCTGGTCCCTCCCCTCGTTGCTCTGTCCATTTGGATCTTTATATGTTTATTTCTCTCTTTCTCTCTATTTTTTAGGGCATTTTTATAGGGTTCTTGGGAAAAGGGATGAAGATTGGGAAGTGTTTTAGCATTTAAACCCAAAAATGAAATGGTGGCTTTTAGGGTTTTGAGGAAGAGGTAGAGGAGGAAAGAAAGGGAAAAAAAAAACCCTCTCCTTGATTATAATCAACTTGGTAAACTAACCTTGGTTTGAAGTTAACCTTGTGGTTGAGTTAGATGAGGTTAATTTTTCTTTTGGGATGGAAAAAGAAAGATCTTGAGGTTGAGGAATGGGATATTGGAAATTATAAAATAATATTTTTGGGGAAAGTTTGAATTTTACTATTGAATGTGGTGTGGTGGGTCGATTTTTATCTTAAATTTTCAATTTCGTTGATAGGATTTAGACTTGAATATGTGTTGCGGTTTTAATCTTCGGTTAAGTCATTGTTAAATTAAGCCCTAACGAATTGATGTACGATATTAAGCTTTAGGAAATCTAGGCATAAGGTCGACTATTGTATAAATCTTTCCGAACACAAAAATTTCAACAAAAATCTAATCTTGATATTGTCTTTCTTTGAATCTCTTCTACTTCATATTATGCCTTTGTTTGCAATCATTAAATGCATGTGTGTTTTTTCTTTAACAATTTTTTTAGTACAACATGAGGAGTGGGGATCAGACTCACAACGACTTTGTTGGAGCTAGATATATGCTAATTACCATTGAGTTATGCTCGCTTTAGCCTTTAACAATTATTCAAACAGATAGAAATTATAATAATTATCTTTAAGGAATGTGTTCACGAGGAATTTCATAGAAGTGAAATTCGAAAAAATAAATAAACTTGATTTTCTATTTATGTGTGTAAGTATTACAATCTCTAACGTATAATCTTCTGATGTTTTCTCTTGGATGTAAACTTCAATTGGAGGACTAGCGAGTTTGTTTTCGTATAAAGGAAGTTGGGACCTTCGGCTTCAAACTTGTTAAAGGATCTTCAAGGTCTTTGACTTTAAGCTTGTTGAAGGATTTTCAAGGTTTTCAACTTGTAGCTTGATGAAGACTTCGACTTGTAACTTGTTGAAGTCTATGATTTGTAGTCTAGTGAAGTTTCGGCTTGTAGCTTAATGAAGTGTTTGTAGTTTGATGAAGTCTTTGACTTGTAGCTTGTTGAAGTATGTCTATCCCTATCCTCTTCCACTCTAACTCTAAATTTTTTCATACTATTACAAATAATCATTTAATACAATATTTCATAAACATTATCTCACATTGAAACCACATTGTCTGGTTCTTCAAGATTCAACATTGCCCATTTGTACTAAATCAGGGGTTGTTTGAACAGTATAATTAATGATGAATAATAATTGGATTAAGTTTAAAGATAGATTCTCAACAGGTATGTAGGAGTTAAACAATTTCTATAAGCGGCAAAATGTCATGTCAATAATATGGGAAGAACAAGATGCCCATGTAAATACTATATGAATGCAATGTGGCATTCAGAGTGGATGAAATAGAGAAACGTTTGTTCATAAATGGAATATCTCTTTTGTACAATCAATGTGTATTCTATAGAGTAGGAACAACCCCTCCAAGTAGATATACAAGAGACGTAACTCTTTTGCATAATGAGTTAAATAGAGAATCCAATGTTAACAATAATGAGGAAGATGAGATACCAAACCAAGAAGAAAAATTTATTTATTCCGCCTATTCCTCCTGTTCCTCCAAATATGTCGACTTAAATATATATAATAATTAAGTTATTACTATTTCATTAATTACGTTAATTTTCCACACTATACAGATTGAATGAGACTGTAGGGTAGAACGCTTATGTCTGTTGACATGGTCTAGTAACTATCACATGTGACCTCGAGGTAAATAAACCAACATGCTAGCATGCCACAACATTTACTATCGCAATTGGGGCACATACATAAGACGAATGTCTTAAGAAATCAAACGTGGAGTACATGAGAAGGAGATGTAACTTGACTCAAAGTAAGATTATCATTGGTTAAGAACCTTCACTATTTTGAATCACGCAACAATAATAACACACGACTCAGTCTCATGACTCAATCTGCATTTTTGTAGGGTCACTTCATAATCGACTTGACAGACGCAATCATGAAAAAGTATGTTTATCCTGATATGTAAACAACTTTCAAAGAGTATTGCACAAACACTACATAAATTTCCCCACACCTGAGACGGGTCATGTCAATCCATCTGACAGGTTGTTGGCAAAGTTAGAAGATTAGAACATGTTATGTGATAGATGAGAGATGGATGAGTAGAAGGTATGACTTTACAAGTATAATTATTTCTATTTAATTTGCATACTTTATATTCGATATAGCTAAACTTTTCTTTCATTAGACAAAACTGAGACCAACAAACGGAATAAGGTCGATACTCCCGTTCAACCATCAAGCTGGGTCAAAGTCATTTGTTGTTGTTGTAAAAGAGAAGTTAGAGTGCAATAACACATCTTTCTTTTGTAGTCATTGTCACTTATGATTATTAATCTTCATGTGTTTTCAATTGCAGAAAGAGCAAGAGGTGGGAGAGAACTTTTGTCAAGTCGATATATTTAAGACGATTAGATACTCTTATAACAAATGTTGGATCAATGACAAGGCTGAGAACAACTATGTAAGTGTTGGAAAATTAATGGCCCATAATAAGTTCCACCTTCCACAGGAATATCCAAACACGCATCACAATATGCAAATAAGAAAGAAACTGTAAAACACAAGAATACGACATAACAAAATTTATACTAGTGCACCCCAATGATTTATGCACTATGTCCAATCTTCCACTCAGATGCGTGTTCCACTATGATATGAGATTGGATTACAAAGCACTCTCAAATATATCTCCCCACAAATATTCACTCTATAGAAATCCCATCAAAAGTCCCTTTAACTTCTAAGTATTTAACCCCAATAATATTCAGGTACATGAAAGAAAAACTCACAGAATAATCGAGAACAAATTACCCAAAAATATTGATCTAGATCTGCCCTTTCTATGTTGCCAACACTCGAGTCGCCATCACAAAATGCTGCTAAAATCTCTCAAATTCGATTGCTGCCAATTACCCTTCAAATACACGGTTCCTACCTTTTTTTTTTGTGTTCATTCAAGAAGGCGACGGAACTGATTCCAAACTTGGAAGTATGTGAAATGGTCTTTGGGTCTCGATCAGGCCACATGATCGGCCTCGGTTGGGACACGATTTCTAAATCACGTAGGGATTCTACATCTATTTCAGCTTCCTCATAGTGGGAGCAAGAGTTGTCATAATAAATTGCTTCTTTGAGAAAACAAGTTGTATCAGTTTGTTCACAAATAGAGCAATAGAGTTATGAAATTTTTGAGTTAAAAGGAGCGTCTCGCACAAAAATATTCTGAGGTGATAGGTCTACGTGATGAAATGTGTTAGACTTGAAATCAATGATGCAAGAATTAATTAGTCGTTCCAGTGGAGCCAGCTCGTAAAAATAGGTACGACAATCTAAAGTGTCTTTCCATAAGCTTACTTAATCTCGTTGTAGGAAGATAGTTGAAGATGTTATGTGGCTATCCTAGAATTATGGTAGCTATTTATGTTATGAAAATATGCACGGATTTCAGGGATATAATTGTATAATTGTGTTTAGTTTATGTTGCTATCATTCAGTTTCCTTTCCTATTGTTTTTTCCCTCTTGAAACGCACCCACTCCATCAAACCTATTTCCACATGCATTTATTCTTTTTGTTTTTCTCTTTTTATCTCAAAACTCATTCGTCTCTCTCCCCCTTGTTTCTTGTTTCTCTTCTTCCTCTTTTGCCTCCTTTTGACATCTTCTCTCCCTTCTTGCTTCTTCGTCTTCCTCTTTTGCCTCCTTAGACATCTTCAGTTTCTTCTTCTTCAAAACTGACCTCACTCAACACCCTCTTTTCAACTTCTTCTTCGAAATCAGCCTCACCCAGTAGCTAGCACCTCTTTTCGGTTTCTTGTTCTACGTCTAGTTTTTTTCTTTCAAAATCGGCCTCCTCGAAATCTAGTTCTTCGTGGCTACGAAATCGCAAACTGAAGCGATTAACCCATCGGTTCGATGTAGTTTGCGCTCTAATATTGGTTCGGTGCGGTCTTACACTTTTCTATTTTTAAAATTTTGGTTTGATAGTCAAACCAAACCAAGCTGAACCATGAATACCCCTAATGGTAGCCATTTATGATACGAAAACTATGCATGTTTATTCTTATTTCTAGGATATAATTGTGTCTGGTTTATATGGCTATCCACTTAGTGATGTTGTTTGTGACTCAAGTACATTACTTTGTTTCTTGGGTGGGATTATTTGTGTAAAGCCCACATGTGGTTGGGTTTAATTGTGAGTGAAGCCCATGTAGTTTTAACTACTTTCAAAACTCTTGTTTTTATGTCGTGAGATTGAGAACAACGAGGAGCAGAATTTTGTTACACAATTTGGAGACAGCAGGTGAAGGTGAGAGAGGAAAAATTTTGGGATTTTGCAAGCTTCTCTTTGAAGCGTTCGGAGGAAGGAGCTTAAGAGTTTGTTTCTTTCTCCTTGCATTTTTCGTCCCATTATCTTCATCTTCTTCGTTGGATTATTTTTCTGCTTGAGAGTTTGAGTTTGTTATTCTCCCTCCTTCTGTTTGTATATTGTCCTCAGATATTGAAGCTAATATAAGTTTGCTCTCACCTTGCATAGTAGATGTAGACCACATTGGTCAAACCACTATAAACTTTTAGTGTCGTTGTCTTCTCTTTCCTTACTATTTAGTTTTAATATTGCTTAGTGGATTATTTGGATGATTGATTAAT